TATGTTTCTGCTGCTGTGTGGTTAATAGTAGTTTTTCCCCGTCGCCAAATTGTTATGTACTAGTTTCCCCGTCGCCAAATTGTTATGTACTCGTCGCTAAATTATTGTTATGGACTGGTCGAGAAACTAATAGTCCTGACGCGAGAAGGCGGAAATCAGAAGACCACTAGGTTTGCGATGATACTTCTATTGTCCAAACACAAGGAGACGAAAATAAATGGTCTCACACCAAAGTGGTAAGCAAGTCAAGTAGTTGTAAAGTAAAGGAGTTCACACAATTTGTGAATGCGAATATATATAAATAATTCAGACAAGCGTGGGAAAAATCATTAGACAGTCTTAACATGAATGGCTAATTATAATGGAGTGTCGATCCAATTATACATAGTGAATATAGCAGACATGCCAACAAACATATATGGATATATGTCACCAAGCAACGGACTGTCAACAAACACTCATATTATATATAATATAATATAAGGAGAATACACATTATTAAAGGAGACAAGTCCATACAAGTGAAGTGGTCACAGAATAACCGAGCAAACAGAAAGAGAGACCAACATGCACACACACACATAAATATATATATGTGGATACATATCACCTCCCCTTTTGAGAAGATGAATGATTAGTAGGATGTTTACCTGGGGGTTTATCTGGGACCTTTGGGCTTGTTGTTGACGCCTGTCGTTTCGTCTGATTGTTGGGTTTGCGGCTTCGGCTCCGTCCGGAATTGTCTAGCATTTTATGCTTCTTCACTGTATTGCGTAGAGAATTTAGTGGGACATCAGCCAGATGCAAACGATCGAACCAATCAAGTCCCAAAACATTTAAATCATTCTTCGTGACGTAACAAATTCCTGTGAATTTGGTAGTGCGGAAGGAAACAAAACATTTGAGTTCACCAATAAGTTTGAGCTGCCCACCACAGGCGCTGACAAGAGACTGGGAAGTATTGGTGATAGGTGGTCTGCCAATATAATTCCAAAGTTTCTCTGATATAACAGTAATATCAGAGGCAGTATCTAGCTGCAGACGAGTATCATGACCATTCATCTGAAGGTCAATATATTTCCGCATAGCTGGTGTTGTGACTTGACAGATTGCACGTAGACTCAGTGATCTTTTTGGAGATTTAGGACCGACATTTTGTTGAGCTTTTGCTGGATTATGATATCTGAGTTGGCGTGGCTGACAAAACCCATTTTTATGACCGATGATTTTGCACTTGCTGCAACGATGATTTTTGTATGGGCAAGACTTTACAAAGTGCCACGCGCCACAATGCCAGCATGGTGATGGTGGGGTCTTCTTTGCAGTATTTTGTGAAGTTGGACGAGTATGTATAGATTTCCGCGGAACATTAGAGAAGTAGGTGGGTCAGGAGTAGCTGATGGGAGATTTTTGCTCTTGCGTAATGCACGAATATCAGAGCTTTTCGGAGGTGTTGATTCGACCAAGTGTATGTCTTTCTGCAGATTAATCAGCCGTTGATATTCATCAGCTATGTCATGTAATGTTAACTTGGGATTTTGTTCTAGCTGATTGAGCAGTCGAGTTCGGATATCTGTGAAACGAGGAGATTGGAGACTGCATATGAGAATCAAGGCTTTGAACTGATCATCTGTTAAGGACCTGAGTCGAAATCTCTCACATTCTCGGTTGACTGTGCCAACATGAGTAAGAAAATCATCATTTTCATTCATTGTCATCTTGAGGCAACGATAACGTATGCTGAATAATGAGGAGTGGTCTCCAAAATGTTCACGCAGCAACTTTATTGTATCATCGAAACAATTGTCACGTGGTTTCTGTGGTAAAATTAGGTTGCAGTACCGTTCATATTCTGCCGGACCCAATTTACGTAGCAAAACTCGCACCTTCCAGGCATCGTCTTGTGAGGCGAGATCAACAGTGAATAAATCCTCATAACGTTGATACCATGTGTCAAAAGTGACATTAGCCTCTGGGTCATAATTGAACTGTGAAATGCTGTTCACAATTCCGTCGACAGATGGTAGCATGGTATGATTGGGATTGCTTGAAGGTGGAGCTGGACCAGTCTGTTGGTTGACGAACATTTCCATTAATTTCATTTGTCGTTCAAACAATAATTCCAATTTAATAGGATCCATAGTAAATTGTTATGTTTCTGCTGCTGTGTGGTTAATAGTAGTTTTTCCCCGTCGCCAAATTGTTATGTACTAGTTTCCCCGTCGCCAAATTGTTATGTACTCGTCGCTAAATTATTGTTATGGACTGGTCGAGAAACTAATAGTCCTGACGCGAGAAGGCGGAAATCAGAAGACCACTAGGTTTGCGATGATACTTCTATTGTCCAAACACAAGGAGACGAAAATAAATGGTCTCACACCAAAGTGGTAAGCAAGTCAAGTAGTTGTAAAGTAAAGGAGTTCACACAATTTGTGAATGCGAATATATATAAATAATTCAGACAAGCGTGGGAAAAATCATTAGACAGTCTTAACATGAATGGCTAATTATAATGGAGTGTCGATCCAATTATACATAGCGAATATAGCAGACATGTCAACAACCATATATGGATATACGTCACCAAGCAACGGACTGTCAACAAACACTCATATTATATATAATATAATATAAGGAGAATACACATTATTAAAGGAGACAAGTCCATACAAGTGAAGTGGTCACAGACTAACCGAGCAAACAGAAAGAGAGACCAACATGCACACACACACATAAATATATATATGTGGATACATATCACCTCCCCTTTTGAGAAGATGAATGATTAGTAGGATGTTTACCTGGGGGTTTATCTGGGACCTTTGGGCTTGTTGTTGACGCCTGTCGTTTCGTCTGATTGTTGGGTTTGCGGCTTCGGCTCCGTCCGGAATTGTCTAGCATTTTATGCTTCTTCACTGTATTGCGTAGAGAATTTAGTGGGACATCAGCCAGATGCAAACGATCGAACCAATCAAGTCCCAAAACATTTAAATCATTCTTCGTGACGTAACAAATTCCTGTGAATTTGGTAGTGCGGAAGGAAACAAAACATTTGAGTTCACCAATAAGTTTGAGCTGCCCACCACAGGCGCTGACAAGAGACTGGGAAGTATTGGTGATAGGTGGTCTGCCAATATAATTCCAAAGTTTCTCTGATATAACAGTAATATCAGAGGCAGTATCTAGCTGCAGACGAGTATCATGACCATTCATCTGAAGGTCAATATATTTCCGCATAGCTGGTGTTGTGACTTGACAGATTGCACGTAGACTCAGTGATCTTTTTGGAGATTTAGGACCGACATTTTGTTGAGCTTTTGCTGGATTATGATATCTGAGTTGGCGTGGCTGACAAAACCCATTTTTATGACCGATGATTTTGCACTTGCTGCAACGATGATTTTTGTATGGGCAAGACTTTACAAAGTGCCACGCGCCACAATGCCAGCATGGTGATGGTGGGGTCTTCTTTGCAGTATTTTGTGAAGTTGGACGAGTATGTATAGATTTCCGCGGAACATTAGGAGAAGTAGGTGGGTCAGGAGTAGCTGATGGGAGATTTTTGCTCTTGCGTAATGCACGAATATCAGAGCTTTTCGGAGGTGTTGATTCGACCAAGTGTATGTCTTTCTGCAGATTAATCAGCCGTTGATATTCATCAGCTATGTCATGTAATGTTAACTTGGGATTTTGTTCTAGCTGATTGAGCAGTCGAGTTCGGATATCTGTGAAACGAGGAGATTGGAGACTGCATATGAGAATCAAGGCTTTGAACTGATCATCTGTTAAGGACCTGAGTCGAAATCTCTCACATTCTCGGTTGACTGTGCCAACATGAGTAAGAAAATCATCATTTTCATTCATTGTCATCTTGAGGCAACGATAACGTATGCTGAATAATGAGGAGTGGTCTCCAAAATGTTCACGCAGCAACTTTATTGTATCATCGAAACAATTGTCACGTGGTTTCTGTGGTAAAATTAGGTTGCAGTACCGTTCATATTCTGCCGGACCCAATTTACGTAGCAAAACTCGCACCTTCCAGGCATCGTCTTGTGAGGCGAGATCAACAGTGAATAAATCCTCATAACGTTGATACCATGTGTCAAAAGTGACATTAGCCTCTGGGTCATAATTGAACTGTGAAATGCTGTTCACAATTCCGTCGACAGATGGTAGCATGGTATGATTGGGATTGCTTGAAGGTGGAGCTGGACCAGTCTGTTGGTTGACGAACATTTCCATTAATTTCATTTGTCGTTCAAACAATAATTCCAATTTAATAGGATCCATAGTAAATTGTTATGTTTCTGCTGCTGTGTGGTTAATAGTAGTTTTTCCCCGTCGCCAAATTGTTATGTACTAGTTTCCCCGTCGCCAAATTGTTATGTACTCGTCGCTAAATTATTGTTATGGACTGGTCGAGAAACTAATAGTCCTGACGCGAGAAGGCGGAAATCAGAAGACCACTAGGTTTGCGATGATACTTCTATTGTCCAAACACAAGGAGACGAAAATAAATGGTCTCACACCAAAGTGGTAAGCAAGTCAAGTAGTTGTAAAGTAAAGGAGTTCACACAATTTGTGAATGCGAATATATATAAATAATTCAGACAAGCGTGGGAAAAATCATTAGACAGTCTTAACATGAATGGCTAATTATAATGGAGTGTCGATCCAATTATACATAGCGAATATAGCAGACATGTCAACAACCATATATGGATATACGTCACCAAGCAACGGACTGTCAACAAACACTCATATTATATATAATATAATATAAGGAGAATACACATTATTAAAGGAGACAAGTCCATACAAGTGAAGTGGTCACAGACTAACCGAGCAAACAGAAAGAGAGACCAACATGCACACACACACATAAATATATATGTGGATACATATCAGTATTCGAACAATGATTCAAAAAAAAGTAAAAAAAGGATAAACAAGCCTAACAACAGTCAAGAAATCCTTTAAATTCACAAATCACCTACCTTTAACATTATTATCTCCTTCTTCAACCTCTTCCGCTTCACTAGAAGACTTCTGTTTCGCGGTAGATGAATCATTCGACTCAGTATCACAGAATCCTTCACCTCCATTATGACATGAATGATTATGCAAAGTGTGTAGACAGTTAGCAGCAGCAGCAGCAGCAGTAGCGGTAGTGTATTTCCTTCCCAACTGCTGTTGGTGGTCATCACTGCCAATCGATTGATTCATAGTTGATGATACACCAAAACGACAAGGGATCTCTCGATAAAGACACTTTATCACATTAGATCGTTTATTATCCTTTGCTGATTTTCTTTCAATATTTTTGTTGTTCAAACGACTTTGATTTAACGGTTGAAACCAAGAAATTCCACCTGAGAATCATATTTTTGCGTTTTTTGTTTGGTGTTTTCGTTATGCAAAATTAGAAGAGAAAAGTTTTTTTTTCAATTTATTTGTAGTTTTAAAGAATAAAAAAATTAGAAGAAACATTTAATTTTCAAGTATTGGTTTTGTACAGGATTTTGCTTGATTGCATGGAGGATTTCATCTTAAGTCAGGTCTTAGTGACTCAACGGTCTACGAGCTAGCTCGCCTTGTAACCAGAAGGTCCTGGGGTTCGAACTCCTCGTGGTGGGTGCGCGTACTGCTGAAGAGTCCCAAACTAGGCTGACGAAACAGCTGTCCAGTGCTCCAAGTGGTTCTGTAACTGATGCCAGCTCATGATGGAATCCTTCTTCCAATCAAACATCTAATTGATAGAAGGCATATAACACTGCTGACAGAGTAGTGTAGTGTAGTGACATTACAAAACAAAGTATGCGATCCAAACTGTATTTCTCTCAATCTCATGAGCCAAACTAGGTGTTATAACTCTGTTGCTAATTCGGATATAAATGAAATTTCTATAGTTGGGTTTGTAAGGATTAGTTATGTTTTACGGGTTGATCACGGATTGATATCAGTTAGAGAACCATTGAAAACCAGGGAGTACTGGACAGCTGCTGTTTCATCCTAGTTTGGGACTCTTCAGCAGTACGCACCCACCGGGATTCGAACCCGGGACCTTCCGGTTACAAGGCAAGCTCGTATACCATTCAGCCACTGGGACCCGATTCAATGGCTCGTGAATTCTAACTTCTACTAATTCGTGATTTAGCGCGACCCCCCCCCCCTTAATAAATCCATTGCTACTTTAAAACACAAAATAACTGAGCGAAGAATATCCTTTTCGATAATTCCCTCCTCTTATGGCTCTACCATTATATATATATATATACATGTTTATATACATAGAATATTCTAGAGTAGTAGTCAACAACAATACTGGTGTGTTTTTTAGATAGTATCGATTTGTAAAGATGCTTAAATTACAATAATAATAAAGATATGTTAGGACATAAAATATCAACTAAAATTAGGAAAATTCCACAACAAATTGAAGATCATTCAAACCTAGGTGGCCAAGGTAAGGACAATGTCTGAACTAGCTTCTTTTGGACGCATAAATTAGGATTCTTAATATGGATCCCAACAGCCAGTCTCAGCAATATTTAGTAATCGAACAAGATTAATGTTATAACCAGGCTTTCAGGGTCATTTACCGCGTACCACCAAATCTCAATTTCGCCTAAAGAGTTCGATTACTAAATATTGCTGAGGCCTTTGAGATCCACATTATGAAGCCTAATTTGTGTGTCCAAAAGAGGCTAGTTCAGACACTATCTTTACCTTGGCCGTTAAGGTTCGAATGATCCTCAATTTTTGTGGAATTTTCCTAATTTTAGTTGATATTGTATTTGCTACTATATTATTATTTTTCAAGTATTGGTTTTGTAGGGATTTTGTTTGATTGCATGGAGGATTTAATCATGAGCTGACATCAGTTAGAGAACCACTGGAAAACCTGGAGTACTGGACAGCTGTTTCGTCCTAGTTTGGGACTCTTTAGCAGTACGCCCCCACCGGGATTCGAACACAGGACCTTCTGGTTACAAGGCGAGCTCCGTAGACCATTGAGCCACTGGGACCCGATCCGATGGTCCTTGAATTCTAACTTCTGCCAATTCACGACATAGCGCGACCACTTCGCAATGTCTTCTTCGATGAGTTACTGCCTCATATTATTATTATTATTGTTATTATTATAATAATTTAAGCATCTTTAATGAACTGTGGTAATTCCATTGTGATCTTACTTTACGAATCGATATTATTTAAAAAACACACCAATAGTGATATTCACTATCATTCTAGAATATTCTATATTTATAAATACACATGTATATATATTTTTACAGCCAGAAGAGGAAATTATCTGTCGAAAAGGATATTCTTTGCTCAATTATTTTGTGTTTTATAGATGTCTGAATGAATATTTTCGCTACATTGGTACTTTATTATGTCTGCGCCTGTTGATTACTACTATAATCGGCCAAGTTAAACTTTAAGCACCATTAACTACCTACCAATCAGTGAATGATCTCGAATGGTCCAATAAGGTTCATGCACGTGAGTTCAAGGCTATACTGAGCTTGATTCATATCAAAGATCTGCTCTAACAAAGTTATGCTTGCAATTCGATGAGGATAAGGTTTTCCAGTATTTCCTGGGTTTCGAGTTGCTTAGGAAGGAGGGGATTTGTTCAGTATGAAGGTTCCATGAGTTTTAAAAAGCTTAAGCGCATGATGAAATCCTGTGACTAATCAAATCCCTACAAACTGACACTTGAAAAACTAACAAATTATCAGAGGAAGAAGCAGAAATGACAGGATTGCAGGTGGACATGGAGAAAAAAAAATTGAGGTGATTTAGAGAAGAAAACCATCTGTCGCATTCATCTTGGCGGTATTTTTTTCAACTACAGGCGCCACAACAGATGGAGATTTCGTCAAAAAGCCAGTGATTTCTTTGAAAACACAGTGTGAAAAAATCTACTACACTACACTTTCAGCTTCAGGGACACAATAAGGATCTCCAACACTAGTGTCAGTCAAATCAGTGCCTTCATTATGTGCGTCGGTGGCACAGTGGTTAGGACTCTCGCCGACTATGCACGCAGTTCTGGGTTCGATCGCCTGCCGACGCACACCCGATATCTCTGGTCGGCCTGCAAAATTTGGTCTACCGATATCACATGCCGAAAATTCCATATTTGTACCAAAAATACGGTGTGGCATCAGCTGTAGTCAAAAAAAAAGAAAATAAAAATGATATTTCACTGACTTAGGGGGCTAGGTCAGTGATACTACCTGGTGGCCGACAAAACCTAGGTGTAAGTGAGGAGTGGGGTTCAAATCCGTGACCTACTGGTTGGAATCCGAGCACCTAGACCAATTAGATATAAACTGTAACCATATCACTGGTAAGGAGTTACTCTGATGACCAGTGTCTATTGGTTTGTGAAACAAAAACGTGTACGAACACACTCAAATACTACTGTGTTAAGAGCTGTCTGATAGGCCAAATTGTAGACAACAATTTACGTCAATGTTCCCGTCCCGAATCGGGGTCATTGGAAAAAATAATAACAAGATTAACCCTGAGAAAATCACCAACCAATCACAATGGAGTTAAAGTGTGGGAATACGACTCACAGATACACGGTCTGACCTTTAGAAAAACGGCCACAAAGAGAACAGAATAACCTTGAGCAGGAAAAAACCAATCAGAAGACGCTGTTTCTCTGCTAATAACAACGAATAATAATGCACATTGAAATCTATAATATCTGTTGATTTTCCCAATAAACAATCTGTTTCCTGACCCTTCTCTTCTGTCGTTACAATAATACTTGTTTAACTGGACACTAGTAACTAGTGTGACGTTTCTAGTCCTTTCTTTGGTTCAGACTAAATTCTAGCATTCAGGTTTGCAATGTGGCCACCATTCTAGGTGGCTCCCCATCATGGTGCGCAGTGATTTGATGATATTAGATAGTTGGAGGCAGTCGGCCACAGCAAGCCTTCGACCTAGGTTTAGTGCTAGTTGGCACTCACCAGTCAGCAAGGTAGGCGTATCTGCAACCTTGGAGGAACTTATGTTCCTTGTAAGATTCGAACCCGCGTCACCCAGTGCTGCAGTTGAATTTCAGAAGGGACATTAGTTCCTTCAAGTTTGCAGATACGCCTGCCTTGCTGACTGGTGAGTGTCAATTAGCACGAAACCTAGGTTCAAGGCTTCCTGACGATTGCCTACAACTATCTAATACTTGTTTTGTATTCAGAAACCTTCATTGCCTGTAAAACTGCCTCATGGACTGTTGAAGTCAATTTGAATTTATTGTTATAATTGTTTAACAGAACCGCTAAAATATTGGAGCATCATCGTCTTTACCTTGCGTTTGAAACGTTTCATGATAACGCATTTCTCAGTGAAGTTTCGTCGGATATACAGTTGAACAGACCAGTTTTTTGTCTTCAGATCATTTAGTTCTGTAAATCAACACATCATTTATCTCTTAGTAGCACCGTTTTCACCTACAGGCGGAACGGATGAAGATATCAAAGGCAGGATTGGAAAGACAAGACAGCGCTTCATTATCACTCATGGGGGATACTGTTGCACTCAGAATAAGACACGAAATTCGGATTCATTTGATGAATTCCCTGAATACTGCTTTATTTACCTTTAAAAGTCAATCTGAACGAAGAATATTCTTTTCAATGCATCCTTCTCTTCAGGTTCTTACAATTATAAAATATATTTATTGCCGTTACAATAAAGGCCAGTTATGCGGCGGCGGCGGATACATTTTTAACGTAGAATAACAGATTAGTTATGGGGTGTCATAATAAATAGTCGTATTTGTGTGACAAACTTGCTAGGCTGAAATTATTATGTACTCGTCGCCAAATTATTGTTATGTACTGGTCGAGAATTTATTAGTCCTGGCACAAAAAAGACGGAAATCAGAAGACCACTAGGTTTGCGATGATACTTCTATTTTCCAAAACACAAGGAGAATCAGTGTGTCCCACAAGAGTGTGAGAGCAAAAATATATATGAATGTCCGAACAAGTGTGCGAACACAAGTGTGAGAGCGAATATTCAAAACGAACAAATCAATAGACAGTCTTAACATGATTGGCTAATTATAATGGAATATCGATCCATATATACATAGCAAAATATATCAGACTGTCAAACAAAACATACATTTTATATGAATACATGTCACCAAGATCAGATTGACAAACAAACACACATTATATGGATATATATATATATCAGAAATCGATTAGAAAATACAGTGAAACGGGAGACAATGGTGGTGATTAATCACAATAGATTTGTTGAGTGTGGGGTAGGAAAATGGACAAGTCAGTTCAAGGTTATAAAAGGTGTCAGGTGAGTGGCTAGCTAGTCTTTGTTAAACAGGAGATAGTAAGACTGCAATGAGAGGATCATAGTGAGATAACGAATGTGTGAAATGAGACAGGTGGAGGCATATAATGAGAAAAGAGATAATGTCACTAATAATAAGTCCGGATAGTATAAATGGAAAATTCGATAGTATTGAGAGAATGTTTGCATGAAGGGTATAAATTATGACGAATAATAATAATAATAGCTGTAATAATAAGCAAAGGAAAAAAGCCAATAGGGTTAAGGAGAAGGAGCACTCTTGGTGAGAAGAAAAATGATCAATCCAAGTTTGGCCACGGTAGGAACACCGTCTGGATGTGTTCATTTTGGATACAAAGTTCCAGCTTAGTTGATCTTATAACAACACTTTCGGCTATGTGTAGGAGACGTAAGCAAACTGTACGTGATAACGACTTCGGAATTCGGTATATAACCCTGAAAACTGTGTTGACGTCGATGATATGTCCAGTATCCCTCAAGTGTGACAGGATGGAACATTTTATGCACTTAATTTTCTCCTTGCTGAACCAAGCTGGTAAATGTTCTCGAACCCGTGGACGAACCTGCTTAATCGTGCGACCTATATAACTTGAACCACAGGAACAGTTGAAATGGTATATGCATGAAGAGCTAAGGTTAGGTAAGACATCTTTGAGTTGCTGGATGGACATTGGACGGCTGCTGAAGGATAGACACAGACGTGCAGAGTAGAAAGTTTTCTTCATCGCCCTGGTTAAACGTTGCGATAGAATCTCCACAGGAGTATCTCCCTTGAATTGGAAACATAAAAATAGAGGCTTTTTCTCCACCGTTGGCAGTTAATGTTTACAACTATTGTAACCTACTTTGGCTTTAATGAACTTCTCTGGATATTTGCTCTCGCTTAGAATATCTCGAATGACCTGGAGTTCTTTCTCTACGCAGTCTTCGGAACAAATAGACCTCGCTCTAAGTGCTAAGCACCTGATTACATTACGTTTGTATTTCATCAACACGAAGCTAAGGAAGTGTGTATACTGAGCTTTGGTCTCTAGCTTTCTAAATATGGTTCTTTTGACGGAACCCTCCTCTCTTCTCGTTAGTAGGACGTCGAGGAAGTGTAAAAAGTCGTTGTATTCTCCTTCGCAGGTGAAATGGACCACTGGATGGGCATTATTGAAGTTGTTCAAAATCAAATCACTATTTAACGCTTCATCATACACTACAAAAGTGTCATCCATGTAACGACAATACATTTCCATTTTTGGCTATTTCCGCTTTCAACGGACTATTTTCTAGTTTTGCTAGAAATATATTCGCGAAAATAGGCCCCAGTGGGGATTCTATAGCTACTCCATCAACCTGTCTGAATATTTCATTATTAAACAGGAACTGAACATTCGTTGTACATTTAACAAGTAGTTGTTTCAGATTACTGATAGGAATATCAGTGCACATTTTCTTTTCTATAATCTGTTCGCAGATATAATCGATGGTTTCCACTAGAGGCACATTAGTGAAACATCAAATGATGCCATATGTTTGCCAGTCGCGTCCATGTTTTTGATCTTATCAACAAATTGAAAGGTATCCTTGATGCTGTGCTTTACTAACTCGTCATGCAAGGGTTGAAGTAGCTGTACCAACCACTTTGCCGTCTCGTGATAGAGTGAAACAGACATTTCTAGTATGGGGCGTAGGGGCACTCCTGATGTATGCACTTTCGGTATACCATATATACGTGAGATGGTGCTCCCTGTGGGTTTTATGTTTTCGAAAGTTTTTGGTTTTGGTAATAAATACCCTTTGACACCCCATAACTACTAATCAGTTATTCTACGTTAAAAATGTGTCCACCGCACAACTGGCCATCATTGTAACGACAATAAATATTATAATTTATAATTGTAAGAACCTGAAGAGGAGAAATTATTGAACATTATTCACGGCATCCATAAACACCAGTTACCAATGGAGGTGAGGAGAAAAATAGACAGCGGAAACATCGAATACAGAAAAAAGAAAAAAAAACAAATAGTGATACCTGATGCAGCACATGCTTCAGCCACGAACAATTTCCGCATAGGAGTATATTTTGAGGATTGACGATAACCGCCATCATCATCATCATAAGACTTAGTGAATTTAATACCATCAGTAATGTAACCGGCAAGTATTGATCGACAGTTTTCACAGTGCATACATGGACAGGATGCTGTTGTTGATTGTGAAGGTGAATCAGACTGATTAGTCTTTAACTTCATTATCATTTCGCCTAATTGATGTTCTGCTCGTTTTTTGAGATCCGCGAACTGGGTGGTGGTGGTAGGTTTTCTGTCACATTGGAATTTTTGATGTATAACAGGTGAACTGCTTGACTTCGCTTGCCTATTGCCTTTTTAGAAATAATGTAGGAAGGAACAAACATAATATATTGATAAAGAATATGTGAAAATCATAATAACTAAGAAATTATAATGTCTGACACCACCTTACATAGTCTATCAAGCTTGATTACGGATTGATATCTCAGAGAATTATGGGGAACCAGAAAGTACTGGACAGTTATTTTAGTCTAGTCTGGGACTCTTTGCAGCAATACTTATCCACGACCTCATTAAGGACTGAATCCACAGCCTTCAGATTACAAGTTTACCTCGTAGAACATTCATCATCCACCGGGATCTGATTCAATAGCCAGTTCAATGAATTTCAACTTCTACCTACTCGTGACTCTAACTCAACTGGTGAGTATTTGTCCTCATTCCCGGGGCAGGTGGATCCCACTGGACACAACTTCTCATTCCAACTCCAGGCAACTTCATCCACTGGATTTAGACATTAAAATTTGTCGGCCATCCAGTTGGGTCCCAGTAAGTGAATGATCTACAAGAGAGTCCGCCTTGTAACCAAAAGGTCTTAGGTTCGAACTCCGGCGGGTGTTTACTGATGAAGAGTCCCGAAATAGGCTGACAAAACCAGCTATCCGGCAGTACTCTCTGCCTGTTGCTTTTCCAATGGTTCTCTAACCGATGTCAGCTCATTATGAAATCCTCTAACATCTCCACTTCGTTCTATTTTCTGCTGTCCTCTTCAGCTGCCTAGATCCACGATTGCCCATAATCTCCTATCTCCTCCTCTAATTCACACGATCTCCTACAAGTGACCCTCTCATTGACGACTGACTTGTTGCTTCCCACTGGGATTCTACTCGAGCAGTGGTCTGCACTGGGCACATATGTCCAATCCACCTCCATTTCCTCCTACATATTTGGTCGGTTTGTTGATAGAGCTTCCTGTCGTTGATTCTTTCTGGTCGGCTGGTCATTTGATCTTTATGATGGAGCAAGCAAAGTGGACGGCGGTTGATAAAAGTCTGTTACTCGTTGGAAATCCTTTTCCTGATACGCAGTAGAAGTTTTTGACCCATGCAGAAGAAATGACTGATTGATTTTACATTTGTGTTGAATAGAATCCGCCGAATCTTGTTCTGTATGCTGATTGAGAGCAGAAGACTTCTGAACTGGTTTCAGGTTGATCAAGGTGTATCTTGCTATTCCGATACTTATTTAGACATCTCCATCCGTTCCGCATGTAGCTTGCTAGTTTTCAAGTGGGTCCCGAGCTCGGATAGACAGGGAGAGTTGGATGCGGGGCTAGCAACTCTACACCACTAAATCTATCAAGCTAATACAGAAACTTCAACGCAAATAAAACACATTCAGGATACAAAAACTTCAAATAGCAATCTTATTCTTCGCTCGAATCAGAGAGGCGAAATGACACAAAGTGCTGGTGAAAGCCAGCCTTCGAGAAGCCAGTCAGCCAGTCAATGTGTCTTCTCTCAATGAAAGCAAGAATAAGAATGGGGACGTGGAATGTCCGTACAATGTATGAAGCCGGCTGACAAGGCTTCCCAGGTAGACGAAAAAGTGTTTAATGGTCAGTAAATTTACCTGAATTATCACCTTCTTGAGTACATGTCTTAAAACCTTCAGTTGAATCATTTTGACAACAACCATCTTGATTGAAACAGGATTTCTTCAAGGCGGATTTACTCTCTTTCCTTTGAACATTTTCTTCCTGTGTTGAATGTCGCTTATCAGGACAGCAAACGCATTTATCACTAGTTGATTTTCTTTCTGAACTTTTTATCATATTGTCTGAATGATTATTTTTGAAGGGATTGAATTCAGGAATGGTTGGATGAACACCAACACCAGATTTACTGAAATTACCGCCGTTATCATCAAATAAATCTGACAATACAGAAGCTGTATCGGTATCCCAATCTTCTGGTATAGAATTTGGTAATGACTGAAGCAGTGAAAGAGAAAAAAATAACAAACATAAAAAGGATGGTAAATCTTATGCATGAATTTTAATGTTACTGCGAGAATAATAACTCCGCTGGAATGCATTGTGTGTGTGTGTGTGTATCACACCGAACACACTCGTTCCCCCCGGTCAAATAATTTAGAATGAAGTTGGTCCGACTTTCTTGATGCTGGGTGTTTTTGTTTGTTTGTCTTACTGTCTCCATTTCTGAAGCTCGCTGACATTCAACCGGTTCTCTTTGTTTGCAATTCTGATGGTATATTATTATTTATTTATTGTTCCTTTGGGTTCCTGGTAGAACATAGGGCTCCAACTGCACGTCCCCACTTACCACTTCTGTCTTCTGCTGTGCTTTTCACCTCCATCCATGTTCACCATCCATACTGTTTCAACTCCTCTTCACACGATCCCCTCCAGGTCAACCTTGGACGTCCCACTCGCCTCTTCCCTTTCGGCCTGGTTCCACTCGACCAATGGCCTGACGCTCGCGCGATGTCACCCAGCCCCCTCCTCAGCTAGTGTCCAATCCATTTAAATCCACTTTCTCCGGAATATTTGTTGTTGGGCGATTGCTTCTTGTTTTGTTTGTTCCTTCCCATAGTTTCTTGTTGGTGATTCTTTCCGGCCCGGCCAGCCACCTGATTGATCTTCAGTATAGAGCCAGCGAAGACTGTTGTTGGTTGATAAAAGTCTGCAACAGGCTGTTGGAAATATTCATTGTGACCCGCCCGCCGGCCAAGTTTCTGATCCGTATAGAAGAACTGACTGACTTCACGTTGTTTGTATTGAAAATCCGACTGAATTTTGTTGTTAATGCTGGCTGATTGACGAAGATTTCCAGATTGGTTTCAGGTTGATGAATGTTTCTCGTTCGCCTTTCTCTCTCAATTTGACATCCTCGTCCGTTCCTCTTGTAGTTGAGACAATGCTCCCTAGATAAGTGTGTGGTGACAGCAGGCTGCTAGCCAATTGGTAGACATTAATTTACGTCAATGTCTAGGTCACTAGTATTGGCCGTGAGAAATATGAACAAGGCTGATTCAACAACCAATCACAGAAGACTTCACGTGGGCAAATAAGATTCGCAGATATATAGGTTAACTTTCCGAGAAACCAGAAACAGCTAATCAGAAGACTGTGTTTGTCTGCTTCAATAAGCTATAATAATGTACATGATATATATATATATATATATATATATATATATATATATATATATATATATATATATATATATAAATACGTGCTGATTTCCGTAATAAAACAATCTGTTTCCGGTCCTTGTCTTCTGTTGTTACAAGTGAATGAAATAAACTTTTGCGAATCCCCCTCCCATTGATGGTGATTGGATGTTGTTGTTGTTGGTTGGTTATTTGGTATACGCGTGACCTTATCTCGTGGTGACCATGTTTAGTCCCTCGCCTTTTCAAAGCAGTTTTTATGACTCTGGGCGTATTCACCGGTGTTTCGCCTCACACTATCACATGCTGCCTTCGTCCGACCTCTCAGAAGAGTTCCAAGTAAAAGCCTCTTTGCAGACGAACCTTGAACGCCATTCAACTCCACAACAGCCTCGAAGTCTCGCAAGAAGATTCATATGTCTCCTTCCTCAAAAACTGCAGGGCCTAGGCTTTTCATCTGTCGGTAGGCAACGACACCAAATATAACAACAGAAGGCAAGACACGAAGACCAAAGTATAATTTCAACTGATCAAACCAGGTATATATATAGGCTGTTTTCCGTTGGAACACACTGTCTGCATCACATCATCACAATACTACTCAGAGCTGCCTATACCTCAGTAGGTGGAGCAGAGCTCGAACACATGACCAGTTGATTGAAAGTCGAGAACCTACAAACCACTGATCAGCTACATCTCCACAAATTTACCTATTAATCGGGTTATTTATACATTAGTTTTCGACAGAATTGAGCACATTCTCATCCTAGCCATCTGTAAGACCATAAGTGGATGGAGTGGCGCAACCAGTGATGAGTCCTATTCGCCCCCCCCTCCAACCACCAGTGGATCCACAAATAAAATGATCTCATCAATCACAAACAAAAGTAAGCATACAAACAAAAATAACTTGTTTAGAAATGTCCTAAATGTATCTATGCACCATTGTAGACAAAAGTGTTGTCTTTGGCAAGAGGTTGCTCTGCACTTTATGGGTCATCACCTTGAAGAAGGAGTTCATTTAGATGTGATGCATTAAAACCAATTCAACATCGGTGGTGGTGGTAATACGTTCTCATTTCCTCAGTAACTAAGTCTTTTGAAATTACGTTTGATAGTCAGTACACATAAAGTTTAGGTGGAGTGCTGAAATATTGGGTACGTTGGTAAATTACGTTAGGTAAGGACTGGCAAAGTGTGGTTTATCAACGGTACTACTAGTATCTTACAGACTTATTATCACACCAACCTTATCGTTCAAGAATTATCCCCATCCAAACATTAATGAAAACAAACAAAACACGTAGTTCAGTGAAGAGTCTCTCTTCGACGGCGAATTCATTCACACTTAGCTGTACAATCGCAGTTATATATATACTTATTTTAGTATTAATGTATGTGTATACAATAGGTTTGTACGATAAGAGTAAAAATAAATTAGGGTTATTGTTACCAAGACATTCCAGAAATGTGATGAGTAATCAAACTGTGTAGCTACGGGAGGGGTGAGTGGAGATTGGCAAATAGGGTAGTGGTGATTTGTTGTCAAAATTCTTACTTATCTTTTAACACATAAAAGAAGTTGATTAAGCGTAGTACAGTTACATAATAATAAGATAAATAATTCAATGAGTGAGTTGTGATTAGGATGCACATAGAAACAAAGGAAAATATGGAATTGTGCAAGAGTTCTTAAAATTACAAATGTTATCACGAAATAGAAAAAAACAACAAGCACATAAGCATCAAGTCAGCAGAAGTCGACACGGTTGTGTTACCAAGATATTAGAAGTGGGTGGTGGGACGATTTTCTTTTATATACATAATTCTGGTTTCTCCAACTGAATGTCTAAGGCTTCAGTAATACAAAAGGAGACGAAAGCGCAATCAATGTCTTTGGTAGCTGCTCTTCATTTTGTAGATTACTTTGAAGGAGGTGTGTTGTTGAGATGGAATGACCAGTGTTTTAACAAGATGTTCGATTATCGCCCTGCTTACACAGCCCCTATTACCTTTTTGTAGTCATGAGGGATTGTGTGTTATTGAACCCTTTGACAAAATACGCATGAAAACAACCAATGTACCTGGCCTGCTCCACGGCAACAGGTGAACTGATATATGTCCATAGAACTGTTCAGATGTGAGATAATTTCCTAAGGTCTTCTGCAGGCCAATGGACGACTGACCGGAGAAAACTACCCTTAGGGTTGCTGCGAAGTAAGTTCTTTTCAAAGATACTGAAATTCTTCTCTTAAAGAATATCATAAGCTAAGTCTCCCTTGAAATTCAGATCCATGTATCAAGTATCTTTTTTAAAACAAGTGATGTTTCGTTCCTCTGGATCTCTGGTGTGATATTCTTGTTGATAAATCTTGGAGGGTATCAGAAAAACCTAATGTATACACACACATATATAAAAAATAAATATGTACAATTACGATTGTACAGCTAAGTAAATGAATTCGCTACCGAAAAGAGACTGACTCTTCGCTGAACTACGTGTTTTATTTTCATTAATGATGCAGATTGGCAGATTCCAGACGAGACTTTTGTATGCAGGCTAAAAAACGATGTTGTATGTAAGTTGGTGGGTGGTGAATTGTAGTGGAATCCACGATAACGTACATTTGGTCCTATTTAGGACTCGTCAGGTGGATGGATGTACCTGTGTTCCCAGTGACTAAGTGAGCGATGGTGTTCCCACCGAGGTTTGAACCCAGTGCCTATAGTTTCATCAAACGCCAAAGCTTTGTCCAATAGACCACTTGGGCCACGACAGCCGCCTCTTGTATAACGGGTCATATTAATTATTTAATTCAATCTAAGATTTGCCCATCGATTGACTGAATCCAAGTGCTGGGCATCAAGTTGACACGTCAGCCCAAGTGCTCTAGTGGATAAGGTTTTGATGTTTGAAACTATGGGCACTGGGTTCAAGCCTCAGTCGGAACACCATCACTCACTCACTCACTCGCTCACTCAGGTACATCGTTCCAGTTGAAGAGTCCCAAATATGACGAAATGCGGACCATCATAGATTCCATTGCTAGTCACCATCCACAAGTTAACTTCTGGTTACATGCGCAGACATCGTCGAAGTATCTGCACAATGAACAGACATGATATCTTGAAACCGAGCACTTCGGTTCGATCAATCGACGGGAAAATCTAAAAATGAATTAGATGCTGTGTACGTAGTTATTGTATCAACCTTATGTGTTATTAGTCATATTTTATAAAACTATAATAAAATTAATCAGGTCAAGGATGAAAAAAAGATAAGTTTACGAATAAATAATAAACTCATCAATAATTAGATACTTACAATACATGAATCAGATGTAATTGCTTGATCTAAGAATTTTTCAAGATGACTAACTATACGTCTGCGTAAATAATAAGCATCTCGAGCACGTAATAACTTAAGCTTTTGTTTCAACAGTGAATATCTCAATTGAGCGACAAGTGTTGATCGTGGAGTAGTAGTAGGATGAGGATGAGGAGGAGGAGAAGGAGTATATTCTGAAGGTAGAACTCCTGCATTTGTAGACTTCTCTGGAATACCTGTATCTGCTACTTCATTAGCATACTCCTTCATCCCAAGACATTCATTCAACTTAGCACGTGAATTACTTTCTTGTTTCAAATGTTCAAAGCTTTCTGATTCCAGTCTGTAGGTTGCAGGACATGTGCCAATACTACCACCACCAACATCACCAGTTTCAACAGACAAATCTCCAGTTTGAACTGCAAAACAAATGTAAACAGTATACATGTATAATTAACCAAAATATGTAAAACAAAACAAAAATGAATGTATTATGCGTGTTTTACTTCATGAAACCTTGTTATTGTTATTATTATTGTTCCTTTGTGTTCCTAGTGGAACATAGGGCTTCAACTGCACGTCTCCACTTACCACTTCTGTCTTCTGATGTGCTTTTCACCTGTATCCATGTTAGTTCATGGATTTCCTCCATGTCACCCTTGCACTGACGTCCTCCTCTCCGCTTCCCTTTCGGTCTGGTTCCACTCGACCAATGGCCTGACGCTCGCGCGATGTCACCCAGCCGCCTCCTCAGTTAGTGTCCAATCCATCTAAATCCACTTTCTCCCGCATATTTGTTGTTGTTGGGCGATTGGTTCTTGTTTTGTTTGTTCCTTCCCATAGTTTCTTGTTGGTGATTCTTTCCGGCCCGGCCCGGCCCAGCCACCTGATTCATCTTCAGTATAGAGCCAGCGAAGACAGTTGTTGGTTGATAAAAGTCTGCAACAGGCTGTTGGAAATATTCTTTGTGACCCATCCGTCAAGTTTCTGATCCGTATAGAAGAACTGACTGACTTGATGTTGTTTGTATTGAAAATCCGACCGAATTTTGTTATTGATGCTGAGTTGAGTGACGAAGATTTCCAGATTGGTTTCAGGTTGATGAATGTGTTTCTCGTTCGCCTTTCTCTCTCAATTTGACATCCTCGTCCGTTCCTCTTGTAGTTGAGACAATGCTCCCTAGATAAGTGTGTGGTGAGAGCAGGCCGCTAGCCAATTGGTAGACATTAATTTACGTCAATGTCTAGGTCACTAGTATTGGCCGTGAGAAAATATGAACAAGGCTGATTCAACAACCAATCACAGAAGACTTAACGTGGGCAAATAAGATTCACAGAGAGAGAGAGAGAGTTGATTAATTACTTTCCTTGGTTGATGGAGGATTTCATCATGAGCTGACATCACTTAGAGAAGCATTGGAAAACCACCTAGGAGTACTGCCAGACAGCTGTTTCATTAACCTAGTTTGGGACTCTTCAGCAGTACGCACCCACATCACAAAGGGTTCGAACTCAGGACCTTCCGGTTACAAGGCTAGTGAGCTCGTAGACCATTGGATCGGGTACCAGTCGCTTAGTGGTCTATGAGCTTGTTAGCTTGTAACCGGAATGTCCTGGGTTCGAACTCCCTGTTATGGATGCGTAATGCTGAAGAGTCCCAAACAAGGCTAACGATACACCTGCCCGGTACTCCCAGGTTTTGCAGTGGTTCTCCAACCGATGTCAGCACGTGATGAAATGCTCCAGCCAGTCAAACAAAATCCCTACAAAACCAATATTTGAAAATTACATTCCTAACCGAAGAGAGACTTTACGGAATCAGTGTAGAGTGGACTAATGTATAACCAATGTCAGCCCCTGGGATGGAACCCAAATAAGAACATGGGAAAAATTATTTAAAGAGGAAGTGAAAGCTTATGAGCAGCTCTCGTGTAATGACAGAAGACAAGGACCGGAAACAGATCGTTTGTTCAGAAAATCAAGAGATATTTATAGATTTTCATGTACATCATTATTTGAGTTATTGGTAGCAGAGAAGCAACGTCTTCTGATTAGTTGTTTTCTTTCTCAAGGTTACTCTGCCATCTCTTTGTGGCCGTTTCTTAGAAAGTTAAGCCATATATTGCGAATCGTATCTGCACACGCTAAGTCTGCTGTGATTGATTGTTGAGTTCTTCAAGGTTAGGCTTTGTTCTTGTTCCTTCTCATGACTCCGACTCGAGACGTAAACATTGACGTAAATAAGTGTCTACAATTTTAGCTAGCAAACAGCTCTCATCACACCAGGATTACCTCTATAAGTTTTGTTTTCCTCCTCACATGACATCTTTCATGTCACTCTCGGATAAACGTTCAATTCACCGTTTCTCATTTACCTTCTACTCGTAGACCTGGAGTCGTCATATCACTCAACAGCATCCTAAGTTTATGTGCAATCCACTCCATCCCCTGTACATATTTTCTGGACAATAGGTCCATGGTTGGTTCATCGCCAGAGTTTCTTATTGCTTACACGTTTTGACTGGCCATCCGATTTTCAATACTGAGCAAAGTGAACAGGTTTTGATGAAAGTCGCCAGTAGTGCCAGTTCGAAAGGCTTTTTGTGTTGCGCACCAACTATCGCTGAAAATATCCCTTAACTGCAAAAACTCAAAAGTTCCAACCATTAAATATCACTAACTGACAAATGGATATACAACTTTCCAGAAAACATTGCATTCTACACTTTGGAATGACACACAACAACATTAAGTTGATCAAATATATGTCTGAAATTGGTGAAGCCATTCAAAGTTTCACCGAAATATATTGTATGAACGGATCGGCATTATAGTCACCGACTTCAGGTTGTCCAATCAACCCTAAAGAAGCAAAATACACGTCTATACTTATCTCACCCTCGACTAGTTAACTAGCTTGCTAGTTTCCTAGCCAGTCCCAAGACCAGGTAAAAAGGGAGAGTTGGGTGTGGAGCTAACAACTCTACACCACTAAATCTATCAGACTGTTAGAGAAACTTCAATGAACAAAAAATATATATTAAAAATACAAAACCTTCATATAGCAATCTTATTCTTAGCTCGAATCAGAGAGGCGAAATGACTTAGAGGGTTGGTGAAGCCATCCTTCGGGAAGCCAGTCAGCCAGTCGATATGTCAACTCTCGATAAAAGCAAGAATAAGAATGGAGACATGGAATGTCCGCACAATGTAAGAGACTGGCTTAAAAGGCTACCCAGGCAGCCAAAGAAATGAGGAGAAATGGTATAGAAGTGCTGGGAATCTGCGAGAGTAGATGGAATAGATTTGGACTGTCAAAATTGTCAACTGATGAGCCAGTAATCTACTCCAGTCACCCGAACGACAACTATGGGCTTACTGAAGCAGTGAGTGGCTATCATGAAGTCAACAACAACAAAAACCAGCACCAATCACCATCAACGCCAGAGATTTGACAGAAGTCACTTCTTTCAATTATCTAGGAAGCACGGATTCAACCATAGGCAGTCGGAACGGATGAAAATGTTAAAGCCAGCTAGCCAGTCAGAATCGGAAGAGCCAGATACACCTTCATCAACCTGAAACCAGTTTAGAAATCTTCTGCTGTCACTCAGGCAGCGTAAAGAATACGATTCGGATTTTCAACACATATGTGAAGTCCATCAGTTCTTCTGCATGGGTCAGAAACTATGCGTGTCACAAAAAGCATTTCCAACAGACCCTGTCTGTTTGTCTGTCTGTTTTCGACATAGAACTTTGCACGGATGTACAGCATTTCAGATCGCCACACTCTCTCCTTATACCATACAAAGTAAGAGAAGAAAGTAGAAGAAATGCATAAGAGAGACAGTAAATAGAGGTGTGAGACAAAGGAGGGTAATAACGAGGAAAAAAACATTTTCATTGGAAATCATAAGTCACAAGGAGTGGATGCATCTGCACCAGCCATTGACAACGATTTTGAGCCATGTCACCAACTGTTTCCAACCATAGATTTCTACCGTCCCGAGGACCCCAGCCTGGAAATCTACACCTTCCTACGTGGCTGAGACTAACTGTTGTGGATTTCATTGACTGGTGCCAAGTTTTTGTTTGACCGCCGCTAGCTTTTTTCTAGCCTGACCCTACATCCGCTAACATTGCTCGTCGGGGAAGGCGATGACCAGGCATACGTAACACATGTCCTAACCATCTCAGTCTTTGCACCTTCATGACTTCGTCGATTGATTTCCCCTGTTTACCTAGAACTCGACCGAAGCCTTACCTCAATATTGCTTACCTTATCATGCCACATCACACGGGAAATAGAGCGCAGACACCTATGATCAAAGACAGCTAGTCTTTTCATGTCTTCCACTCTCAGTGGTCAGGTCTCACAGCCATAAAGGAGGAAGGAGTGGACTGATGAGCAGTACACCCGCCCTTTGGTCGATAATCGAATATCTCGTCTACGCCAGAGACGGCGTAACCTGGCATATGCGAAACGAGCCCCCTGTATTCGTGCTGAGATTTCGTCAGAGATCAACCCGTTGGGGCTGATGCAGCTTCCCAAATAAATGAAGCGGTCAACGTGCTCTACCACTTCACTTCCTATTTCTAATCTAGGAGTCAGAGTAGTCCAATCCTGTAACATCATCTTACATTTGATATCAGGAGCGAATAGCATGCCAAACATTCGTAGATTGCAGCTCAAGATGTTCAGAAGACTCTGCTTCATTTCGTCAGCGTCTTCGCCTAGAAGGACTATATCGTCTGCATATTCTAAGTCAATGAGATTATTCCCCGGTAGCAAGTCAATCCCTGAGTCGCTGAAGTCACTTGAGGTTAAGTCCATTAGTACATCTACGATGAAGTTGAATAGAAAAGGGGATAATGGGCATCCTTGACGAACACCACTAGTCGTCACCAGTTCAGATGACAACTCGCCGTTAGCCCTCACCTGGCTGTATGAGTACGAGTAGAGTGGCTTAATCAGTGCAATGTATTTTCTTGTCATTCCCTTTACAACCAAGCATTTCCAAAAGACCCTAGAGTTGAAAAAGCCGCCTCAGGCGTCTCAGGGTGACATGGGGAGATTATGCGAGGAGATAAGAGCTTATGAGCAATCGTGGAGCCACCCAAGAAGGATGGCGGGGAATATGATGAGTCGTAGATGTACTTTTGAAGCCCTATGTTCACTCAGAACCCACGACAGTAGTAATAAGTAAACTAAACTGCATCAAAATTTCAATACGGAACTTACCCATTTTCGTATTTGATTTCTTCCTGTATTAGAAAATTCATTATTAAGTGTGAAAGTAGAATAAGACTGAGTTTTACTAACATGTAAATTGCTTCAACTGTTTGTCTTTCAGGTAATGGAGGTCGTTCACCCGATACTGCACTTGTCAGGATTGAACTAAATCCATCAACATGATTTCGACAGGAATAAGCTTCATGACTGGTTAAATGATTATTGTCTAGTTGGCTATTACGATCATTATCATTATTATCATCTTGACTTTTTTCACTACTAATTGATGAAGGCGGTAAAGAATTCATTGTTTGATTCAAAGAATGTGTAACTATCGGCTGGACATAATGATGACGATGTTGACGACGATGATGGTTTACTACAATGCTTGACTGATGACTTCTTTCATCTGAATTCAAGCAAAATGGATCTGTAACAGATTTCTGAAGGAGAAGAAGACAAGACAAAAATTAGTTATTTTACAAAGGTTGTCTTGCAGAGATCTGATTAATTTCAACAAGACTGGACAGATAAATTGACAAAGTTAGACTTGATGGGGTGTCATTGGATTCCGGTTTCGGTGACCGAACAGCTTACAAGCTCAATTCGTAACCTGAAGATCCTGGATTCGATCCCTAGTGGTTAGGTGGACATGAGTGAGTATTGCTGAAGAGTCTCAAACTAAGACAAAGCAGTTACTTAGTATTCCCTGATTTTCGGTGTTTCTCTGGTCGTGGTCAACTCGTCATCAATCTTGAAAAACTTACACAGGAATTACCCATAACAAAAGATCTTGTAACATTGCATTTAAGACAGTTAGTGCCTTTTATAAATTTGGATAGTGTTATTATAAGACGGAGATTGTTTGGAAAATGTAATGGATTTGAGCAACACATTTAAAACAATCTGATCCGGGACCTTCTACGAGCTCGCTTTGTAACCAGAAGGTCCTGGGTTCGAACACCGGTGGGTGCGTATTGCTGAAGAGTCCCTAACTAGAACGGAACACCAGTCCAGTACTCCCAGGTGGTTTTCCAGTGGTTCTCTAACTGATGTCAGCCCTTAATGAAATCCTCCATGCAGCCAAACAAAATCTATACAAAACCAATACTTGAAAATATTGAGAAAGACGTCAATGAAAGCAAAAAAGAAAGAATAACTTATTAAGAAGCTTACTTGATACAATAATAACTGAAAACCACTTGGACATTACAATATTCGGAAATTTCACCAACATTCCAAAGACACAACGAATCAATACTAATATCTTATTACTTTATTTTTATTTTGCAAATCCGTAACATCAGCATGAGAATTGACTCTAATCCAGACTTGACACATCAAGACGGATGCAACCGATCTGGACTTCACACTATGCAGATAAGATATCCAAGACAGCAGGTGAAATAGTCCACTTTTGTCTATTACGACTACTACTGATCTGTTAATTTCAACACAAGGTCAACATTTGTCAACTTACGACCAATCACAGGCTTGTATATAAAGGAAGCTTGAATTACTCATCATCTATCAATCTAATCTAGTAATTACAGGCATGTGATTGGTCATAAAATTGTGAGCCACAAGGTCATACGCCTACGCGAATCGGCAATCTTAACATTTGACAGATTACAAATACAAGAAGGAAAACACTCACTGGAATAATGCAGTAGTGCAGTGCAGGGCTTACTTCACGTGATTTGTCATAGGCTCTTAAATAAACTAAGAGACAAAAGTGTTATTTAAAACATAGGATTCCCTTTATGAATTTAGATAAAGCAATAAGATCACGTAATTTGTGTGAATGGTGTAAAATTTCAAAGAGGAAGATAATTGATTATCTTTCCTATACATATTGCTTAGTCGACGGCTTGATGGGTCAATAAAAAGATCTATTTATAGAAAACCTACCTGGACAGAACAGTATCTTAATTACCACAGTTTCTGCGCTGTTCTGTACAAAACAGCCTTAGTCAGTTAGGTGCCTCTTCACAGTAGAATCCAGCAAATATGGACTAAAGACACACTTGATAAAGAAGAAAGAAAGTTGACACAAACGCTGGTTGATAACAATTATCCAGACAAGTTCATCAGGAGATATAAAGTAGTCAGAACACCAAGACCTGCTCCCCAACTCGCTCCTAAGAAAGACGTCTACATCGAGCTACTCTATATGGGGCATCATAGCAGCTTGATAACTAGACAAAGATTGAAGGCTGCTGTTAAAAAGACTTTTTATGCAGCTAATAGGATAATAATTGAGAATGTGAAGCCAAATATATCTATCTAAGCCCTTCGAACATGCAAAAAACCATGTCACATCCCACTGTATTTACCTATTTGGATGTACATGTGGACACACACATACACAGGAAGGAGGATTCATCGATCTCTGCAAGTAAGGGCTGGCTTCAGAGCATATTCCTAAATGGCTCCAGAAACAAATAGAATCTTCAGAACCATTAATGGTGAGAACAGGAGACCTAGTTCATTGTTATTTTGACCTTCAATATGTCCTTTCAACTTGACCTAAGTCTATTTTTTTACCTCTTAACTCTATTCATTTCATATAGATTCATTCCAAGACAAGTCCGTGTGTGGTGAGATTGTTCGAAATGTGTTGTGCGCGCAAATACATACATAACACGCTACAGACAAATTATGTCTTCTTACTCCTTTATTTAAATATTAATATAATATTTCATGTTTAATTGGTGGATGGATGGTGACTAGCAGTGGAATCCAGGATGGGCATTTCGTCCCATTCGGGAATATCATCACTCACTGGGTAATGTAGGTACATCCAGATGACGAGTACCAAATAAGACGAAACGCACGTTCTTCTGGATTCCACTGCTAGTAACCATCCACCATTGAACTACTAATTATGTGTCCAGACATCCTCGAAGTATCTGCACAAGAAGCCGACATGTCAACACCTGAGACCAAGGACTTCGGTCCAATCAATCGACAGGAAAATCTAAAATTCAACTGAAAATATTTCATGCTTTGACTACAGACTGATGTCAGTTAGAAAACCAATAAAAAACTAAGGGCTATTGAACAGCTGTTTCAACCTTAGTTTTGGATTCTCCCACAGTATGCATTCACTGAGGTTCGAACCCCCCCCCAGGACTTTCCGGTTAGATATGGGGTAAGTTCGTGTACACCAATTCAGCTGCTGATATCTTATCCAGTGAGGGTGGCCCATGGGATTCTAACTTCTCCCTAGTTGTAAAATGGTTCTTCAACTGACATCAATCTATGCTCAACCCCACTGGAAACAAATCAAGCCCCTACAAACACTATTAACTCTTGTCAACTGTTGTGCTTTTCAAAATATTGCTTATTTAGAAAATGATATAAGAATAAAACTTGTGCACTATGGTAGAGTGTAATTCCATCACGGGTAAATTTTGTTTTGATAAAGTCTCACAGTGTTATACAGTAATGTCTACTGATGACCACGTTTCAAGCACAATTATTTTGACCTTCAATATATCCTTTTAACTTGACCTAAGCAGTCTATTTTCTCACTTCTTCACTCTTTATTAATACATATTGATACATATATCTATGCTTTAATTCCTAGAGGAACATAGGGCTTCAGCCGCCAAAGTCTCCATTCCCTTGCGGTTCTCTGCTAGAGTTTTCACCTGGCTCCAAGTCTGCCCACGTGCCTTCTTTTCCTCTTCACATGACCTCCACCAATTCACCCTTGGACGACCAACTCGCCGCTTCCCTTTCGGGTTCCACTCGAGCGATGGCTTGTCTAGTGATGTCACTTGATGGTTTCCTCAGAGTATTGCCGCCAATTCACCTTCATTTCTTCCTACATATTTGTTTCACAATCGGTTCCTGCCGAGTTGGTTCGCTCCCAGAAATCCCTCCCTGTTGCTGATCTTTTTTGGCCGGCCATCTGATCTTGAGTAGTATTGAGCGAAGACAGCTAGCTGTTAATGCAGGTCTGTAGTTTGTTTGAGATGCTCTTTATGACGCGCTGGCCAAGTCTCTGATTCGTATAGTAGCACTGACTTCACATTGGAGTTGAAAATCCGGATCTTTGTTTTCATGCTGTGTAGTGCTGTTGATTTCCACACAGACTTCAGAGAAATGAAAACTTGACTTACTTTCCGGTTTCTTGCTTTGATATTATCAGTTCTGTCCGCCTGACATTCCTCCCATTTATGCTGATTGTTGTCTGTTGTTGTTGGTGTTGGCCAGGAATCTTCATCGCTTCTGTTTTCTCTATGTTCATCTGAAGTCCTATCTTCTCTGGATGCTACTTTTATCCCCAACTTGTTGCTTTTCACTTGCATATCTTCCAGTTTGTGGGAAATCAGACATATATCATCGGCGAAGTCCATATATATATATATATATATATATATATATATATATATATATATATATATATATATATATATATATATATATATATGACGAGTCCGTGGAGTGTGATCAGATTGTTCGATTTGTGTTGTGCGCGTAAATACATACATAACACGCTACAGACAAATTACGTCTTCTTATGGCTTTATCTAAGAGTATTATGACTTAGCCAATAATGTACAACGTGAATACATACTAGGCTGTTGATATACACGAAGTGCTAAGTTTGAAAATGGTCAATTGAAACAAGTAATATAGATAAAACTGATTCTTATTTTCGTTATATTGACGATACATTTTATTATTCTTGATGTGAAAGCCGACAAGAATGAAATGTTAGTGAGATTCAATGATGCACATCCATCGCTTATTTTCACTTGTGAAGAAGAACATGATGGTAGACTACATTTCCTTGACGTCCAATTGAGCAGAAGAGAGGATGGTTCACTCAAGAGAGATGTCTATAGAAAACCTACATGTGTAGAACAATATACACATTTACACAGTTTTATACCAATCCGATACAAAGTCAATTTGGTCAGATGCCTCACGAATAGAGCAAGAGATTTCTGTACAGATGACTCCCTCTACAAAGTGAGTTAGGATACATTCAAAATACGCTGGTCCAAATGGGTTATCCTAGTAGATTTGTAAGGAGACAGATGAACGCACCAGGTACAAAAAAGAGAAACTAACAACAGTTAAAAAGAAACAACTGTTCATGAAATTGCAATTTAATGGTGACGTGGCTAGTGAAGTTTTACATCTGAGATTATCGAGAGGGATAAAACGGACTTATACTACCGCCACCCTTTGTTCGTCATTTTCCAGATGCCAACCAATTATGATTGCTCAAGTGAAAGACAAGCTACCTTGCTAGCTGTGCCACTTCTATGTGTATCTATAAATTTAGTTGCTCCTGTGGAGAAAGCTGGCTATATAGGGCGAACAACTAGACAGCTTAACAAACACATTAATGAGCATCTTCCTTCATGGTTTGGAAAAGGCTAAACAAAATCTACAAGTTCTATTTTGACACATTTGATTGATAGCAGTCACCAAGTGGACACAAATACCGCCGCCTTAAATGTTATCTATCGCATTCCATCGAGCCTTTCGAACGGAATTCGAACCCGTCTTTTACACATAGCCGAAGCTATGGGAATTAATTCGAGAGGACAATCCTAGTCTTTGCATACAACAAAGGAAGTTTGTTCTACCTTTGTCTCTCTCTTGGCCTAAGTGAACTCTATTCAAAACCCTCCCACCCTTTCTTGTTTTCCATCTCCTTCGTACTTTTATGATATTTATTTGAACTCTGATTGTCTGTCCAATTCACATTTACCACACTATTATTGGTCTTAATATTATTATTATTTGGTCCACAAAATCACCGTCATTGGTTAAAATTTTTATACATAAATCTATGTAAATTAGATTAAAGCCTAAAGAAGATCTATTGAATTGAATTTTTGATTTTCCCGTCGATTGATTGGACCGAAGTGCTCGGTCTCAGGTTGACATGTCAGCTTCTTGTGCAGATGCTTCGACGATGTCTGGGTATTTAATTAGTATACAATTGGTGGATGGTGGCTAGCAGTGGAATCCAGGGTGCGCATTTCGTCCTATTTGGGACTCGTCAGCTGGATGTGACCCGTTGCACAAGAGGTGGCTCTGGTGACCCAAGTGGTCTAGTGGATAACTCTTTGGCATTTGAAACTATGGGCACTGGGCTCGAGCCTCGGTGGGAACATCACCACTCACTGAGAAATGCAGGTACATCCAGCTGACGAGTCCCAAATAGGACGAAATGCGCATCCTGGATTCCACTGCTAGCCACCATCAACCAATTGTATACTAAAGAAGATCTAATTGAAAACAACTATATTGTTCGCTTATATGTCTTGTTCTAATATTAAAAATGGGAATATTTAAAGATTTGAAAATAATTCTATCCAAATACTGGTCTGCTCATAATCCCATGTCTTTTGAATGACTTAGCAACAAGCCGTTTATAGTCAATCTTTTCCTTATGATATCAGTAGTCATTGATCCTAGTACAGATGGATATTTTATGATAAACGATAACAGTCGAAAAGAAATTATGGACAAAGTTCAACAATAGCGACCTGATGGATGAGAACGCACGGGTGACCTTGAGCTGACTAATCATAAAATGAGGAATTTTTCCACCAAAAAAATGATGTGTATTTACAAGAAAATGCATGAGAACACATCAAACAGCATATCGTTCTCTGACATGACTTAAAAAAAATACGTCCCAGTTATAATGAGGAGTATCAGTTGCTAAGTTAGACTGGCTTCTGAACATGTATTTCCCGACGTGACTGAAGATGAGATATTTTTGGGAATCTTTCATCTCTCTTATCCCGTTGCTCAGTTTCACCCCCTCCCCACTCCCAAAAGCCTTCGGTTGAATTACGATGGTTTCCAGTAAGAGGATCGACGACCACTTACCAGGAAAATGTGGATAATAGAACAAATGAAAATAAATAACATCAACTCTAAATCTATTCCTAATCGTAACCCTAAACTTAATGCTGATCCTAACACTAACCCTAACTTTAATCCTAACCCTAATTATAACCCTTATCTAAACCATAATTCTAACTCAAATGCTAATTCTAACCCTTATCCTAACCCTAAAGAGTTATCAACCCATTGTCGAAACACTACTTAAAAACGTGATCTGTGTGAAATTTGCTGCTTAGCTGTGGTGAATAGCATTGATATTTTAGCTATGATAATGACAGGTGCCATTAGCCAACGACTAGCATGCGTTCCAAGTCGTTGGAGCGTTCGCACTCCTCCTGGGACGACGGTATTGTTGGACTTTGCCCAAATTTGAAGGTATCGGTGCGTGTTTTGTTTGAGAAATTTACAGAATTGAATATAAATGTGCTTCATTAAAGCTTTTTAAAGGGATAAGAGATTTAGGGCAAAAGTAAAAAAAATAGATACCACAGTCAAATGACCTTGAACTAACCAACCCTAACTGTTCAACATTACAAATTAATGTTTTTGATATTCTTCGTTGCAAGTTTCACCCTGATTCAGGATTAGGGTTTTGGGGAGGGTTATGGTTAGGGTGAAACTTCCAACGAAGTTTAAGGAGAGGGTCCATTTGAAACGTTAAGCTATGTGACCATCATCATTACTGGGGCATAGTCATCATAAACTCTGTCATTGATTACAATTAGTGGATCTATAAGCGGAACTCATTCTGTGGTGAGAGCTATCTGCTAGCCGAAATCGGTAGACAGAAATTTACGTCATTTTTACGTCCCAAATCAGCGTCATGAGAAAAATCAAGAACAAACAACAACCTTGAGGAAATCAACAACCAATCATGGTAGACTTTGAGTGGGTTGATACGATTTGCAGATATCTGGTCTGACCTTCAAGGAAACGGCCACAAAGAGATGACAGAATAACCTTCAGCGAGAAAACAACCAGTCAGAAGACGCTGTTTCTCTGCTGACAATAACGCAAATAATAATCTATATAAAAATCTGTAAATATCTGTTGATTTTCTCAATAAACAATTTGTTAACTGGCCCTTGTCTTTTGTGGTTACACCATAACCATTTCTCTTGTCTTCTTCCGTTACAATAATAATAATCTTAGTAGAAGTATTGGTGATTTATTCGGATTGGTTATCTATATTCTAAGTGTAAATTCGACTTTAAAACTTACCTTAGTTACACTTCCAATTGTATTTGCTGATACACTACTCAATTGATTTTGTTTCAAGAAATCATTTGTATTCTTTTGTTCGTTAGTATTGAATGAAAGTTGATTAGTGTCTGGTCGTATTGTTATTGTCTCTGTAGAATTAACTAGTCCATGGGAATTTGGTATACTTTCTGAAAAGGAAAGACAGGAAGAGAAATAAAATAAAAATGATTCATTACTATGATGAGTGAAGTAAATACACAATTTCGTGATGTGTGTGTGTGCGCGCGCCTCATCGCGCAGTGGCTTTATGCGTGTGTGTGTGTGTGTGTGTGTGTAGTTCAGTGATAGAATGCTCGTCAATCACCAACGCACTCCAAGGTCGATTCTAAGACTCACCCAGCTGGCAGTAAACCCAGAAGAGAGGGAAAGTTAAAATTGAGACTGACAGACTGACTGGCTGGTTTTAACATAGAACTTTGCACAAATGTACAGCAGTTCAAATCGCCACACTCTCTCCTTGTACCACACAAAGCAAGGGAAGAAAGTAGAAGAAATGCATAAGAGAGACAGTAAGTTGGGGTGTGAGACAAAGGAATAGTAATAACGAAGAATGATATAGTTTCATTGGGTATTATAAGTCACAATAAGTGGATGCATCTAGCTGTGTCAGCCAATGAGAATGATTTTGAGCCATATCACCAATTGTCTGCAAAAATTGGTGTTCACCGTTCCGAGGACCACAACCAATAAGGAAGTCTACACCTTCCTACATGGCTTAAACTAACTGCTGTGGATTTCATTGACCGTGTTTTGATTTGACCACCACTGGCTAACTCTTTTCCAACCTGACCCTATGTCAGTTAACATCACCCGTTAGTCGAGGAAGGCGATGATTAGATATGCGTAACACATTTCCTAACCATCTCAATGAATGTAACTTCACAAACTCCTCGACTGATTTCCCCTCCTTATCTAACACTCGAAGCTGAACCACATTATAACTCACCCCATAATACCAACTAACATAGGAGGAGGAACACAGATGCCTTGATCAAAGACAGTTAGCTAGCCTTTTCATATCTTCCACTTTCAGTGGCCACGCATCATGGCTGTACAGGAGAACGAAGCAAACTGCTGAGCAGTGCACACAAAGCTCGAAGCTCTACCTTCCACTTGGAACGTAGATGGACTGGAAAAACAAAACGCTATATGATCGATGTCTTTCTTCTACAAGAATTGTGTAAAAAGGAGAAGTGAAAGATTCTTGGGAAAAAAAATCATAAGTAGCATAGAATGCAGAGTAGAAAAAACAACAACAACAGCAGCCAGAATGCCGAATAACAGTTTAAGAAATTGAAATTCCAGGGTGAAGGTTTTTGTGAATAATAATAATAATCATACACAATGGATACGTTTCAGTATTACGTATTCAGATGAAAGAGGGGTGAAAATATCCAGTTATCAGACAGAGCAAAGAAAGACTGATAACCGCATCTTTCTGAACGCACAATTCAGGTTTCAGGCGCTTGATGAGAATTGCTTCAGCAAACTTGTGGAGAATTGAACTCTTTTGCCTATTGATAATTTTGAATGACTTTTCGATGTCTACCTCATGACCCGCATCAATCAGATGCCTGGCGATGGCACTATTTAAAGTATTTATCCCCTTTAGACATTGGCTTTTTGGTACATGTTCAGAAAATCGTAGATATGCCCTTCTTCTTTTTGTTCTTCGAATGTAACTGCTCCCGTAGATACATGTAAATTTGTATACACACAGTTGGAGTTAACATGAGAATATATCTTTCGATTTTTTGATTGCACCAAAGGAGAGCAAGTTGTTCGATAGACGGGGACGAGCTTAGATGCATAATAGGCTATGGTCAGTGATGTACTCAGCCTTCTGTTGATCATTGCTGCAATATTTTCACCTTTGTAATCAAGCTGAGTGTAGATTGGCTTTTTACCCATTGTGATTTGTTTTACATTTGTGACTTCAGATCTTCCATACTTGTTGATGAATCTTTAAGGGTACCCATAGCTCTTCAATATCTTTTCAAGGCACTCAAATTCTTCCTCTAATTTCTCTATAGAGCGTATTCTCCTCGCTCTATAGTACAGAGTCTTGACTAGTCTGTGTTATAAAAACTATTTGCTAACCGGATATTTTCATCTCTCTTTCATCTGAATGCATAATGCTGAATAGTTCCCATTGTTTATGATTATTATTGTTCAGAATAATGCTTAATATTACATATAAATACACATTACATATTATTACTGTGTGCATATATTGATTGATTTTTGTTTAAAATGAAGTCTCTGTGCAAGTATGTTTTAACTGTTTCTGTAGATATACTTAATAATGACTGTGGCCTGTAAGCAGCTGATGAGAAGGCAACGAGATAAACAATGATGGTACCACTTTATTCTGCAAAAAACTATAGTTCTTATTACTAATTTATTTATAAATGTTAGTGTATATGTGAATTTATTTTTAAGAATGCTTTGATTTATTTTATTATTATCATTATTATTATTATCGATTTGCTCTTCATACAATCTCCTGTATGTCACTCTCAGACACACGATTAGTAGGTCACTTCCCATTCGAGATTCATTTGAGTAAACATGTTTTAAAATTAATCACAAACTGACATCATTTGGAGTACTAGATTCTTGGACAGGTTTTTCATCCCTAACCCGGGACTCTTCATCAATACGCACCCAGGAGACCAACTAGGAGCCCCACAGCTGTCAATACACGCTAGCTTTAACTAGTTCTCTAAATGATCTAACATGAAATCGCCTAAAATATGCACGTATACACACAAAAACACACAGACTTACGACAAATCTGATTCAATTGAAGCAGCTGGACATCGGATGTAGACAAACCGGTATAACGTGAAGGTATATACTCGTACAACTCTACTGCTCGTGATTCATTATTTATAAGGAATGAAGATGATTGGACAGTTTGAAAGGGTTGAACATTGTGAACTGCTGTAATCAAATGATCAGTATTACCACTAGTCGACATACAAATACTACCAAAATTGGAATTTTCACCGGAAGACTCAATCTTATGCTGTTCTTCAGAAGCTGAAATATTTCCCTAAAATATACACATAAATATATATATAGAAATACCCGAAATATGATATGATATATATAAACGGATAGAAACAATCAATGAAAGAGAGGCTCCTGCAAACCAGTGTGGTGAGAGCCAAAATTTGTAGACAGCAAATGACGTCGATTTTTACGTCCCAACAAAGACTGCCTAAACAACCAATCACAGCAGAATTAGTGTGGGCAAATATGAATCTCAGATATATATGGTCTGACTTTCAAAGAAATGACCACGAAAACATGACAGAATAACCTTCAACGAGAAAACAACCAATCAGAAGACGTTGATTGTCTGCTAACAATAACGCTAATAATAATGTACATAAAAATCTATAAATATCTGTTGATTTCCTCAAAAATCGACCTGTTGACTGCCCTTGTTCTCTGTCGTTACACTATTACTTGAGAATTAATCTTATACTTACTAGTGACTGGCTTTATAAAGGAAGTTACTTGGAGAATTGATAGCTAGCGGGTTCACTCATCGATGGCATTGTCTAACAGTTGTGTTATATGTGTTTCACCAAGTGGCAGAAATTAAAATTCACTTGCGATTGGATCCAGTGGCTGAATAGTCTACGTGCTCTCCTTGTAACTGGAAGGACTTAGGTTCTAACATCGGTAGATGGGTATTGTTGGGAGTCCCAAAGTAGGATGAAACAGCTATCCAATACTCCCGAATAGTTTTCCAATGCTCCTCTAACTGATCTCAGCTCATGATCAAACCTGGCAGATTTCTCAAACGAGTGGAACAGTCATGCGATATGTTAGGCCACTTTGATCTTGGTTAGCAAACATTACTTAGTTGGATGTGATTGGACATCCTACTACTCATATCAAACAATCAGTAGTATGCATGCCACCATTCTAAGTGAGCAACCAGATATCGGTCAACATTTGTCTCATCCCAGTTTGCGACTCTTCAGTTGCGCGCACTCCTGAAACCATGGTGGATCAAACCCAGCGTATTACGAGTGAGTCCTTTGATCAGCCAGTCACTGGGGCTACCGATTCGCCAGCTACGCACGAGGTCCGAGTTCGACTCCTGGCCGACGCAATCATAAACCTTGCTTAGCTTGTCACGACAGAAGACAAGGGTCGGGCAATAGATCATTTATTGAGAAAATCAACAGATATTTATAGATTTTTATGTACATTATTATTAGCCTTATTGCTAGCAGAGGAGCAACATCCTCTGATTAGTTGTTTTCTTGCTGAAGGTTATTCTGTCATTTCTTCGTGGCTGTTTCCTAGAAATTCCGGCCAAATATCTACGAATCGTATTTGCAGACGTTAAGTCTTCTGCGATTGGTTGTTGAGTTCCTCAAGGTTAAGCTTTGTTACTGTCTTTTCTCATGACTCCGATTTGGAACGTAGACATTGACGTAAATTTAATTCAATTTTAGATTTTCCCATCGATTCACTGAACCAAAGTGCTCGGTGTCTCAAGTTGACATGTCGGCTTCTTGTGAAGATGCTTCGGCAATGTCTGGGCATGTAATTAGAATTTAATTGGTGGATGGTGACTAGCAGCAGAATCTAGCATAACGCGAATTTCGTTCTATTCGGGACTCGTCAACTGGAAGGATGTACCTGCATCCCGTGGATAATACGACCAATGTCACAAGCGGTGGCTCTTGTGAATCAAGTGGTCTAGTGGATAACTCTTTGACATTTGAAACTATGGACACTGGGTTAGAGCCTCAGTGGGAACACCATCGCTCATCGTTCTAGTTGACGAGTCCCAAATAGGACGAAATGTGCGTTATCCTGGATTCCACTGCTAGTCACCATCCACCAACTAACCTCAAATTGACGTACATTGTCACCTACAATTTTGACTTTCAGACAGCTTCACCACAAGCGCTTAATTAGGCGTTAGTAAACCCAAGAAAGAGAGAAGAGTTGTGTGGCTAGTAATCTCATCACGTTCCACTTGGAACTCAAGGAATGGCAAAAAAATAAACTGGGGTTTATAGTAAAATAGATTTTTAACTCACGTTTTGATCTAGTTTTCTCTCTCTACACGGAATCAATATTTGTGAATTATCAATAGGCAATATTGACTGTGAAATGGGCATATAGGTGTTAATTGTTTGCAATTCAGCATAGTTTAATAGGAATGACCAACTGCATCATTAGAAATAGGGAAAGCAAATATTTCTTTGTCTAAAATCATCATATAAACGAAGTAAAACGGGGACTAAATGAGAATTAATATTTTCTTACATTATTAAGGATAAAAAAGAGGCAAAGTTGTGGAAATAAAAAAAGCCTAATAAGTTTATAAGGGTGAATGATGCTCGAGGGCAGGGGTTCGTGTGTTCTTGGAAGTGTGTGTGGCCGGTTGTTACTTCCCGGCTTCCCACATCATGGAAGTTGATTTTCCTTCTTCGGGTACCTGAAATAAAAAGAGGGTTAGTGTTGTGTGAGCACAGATCCCAGGAGACAACTACTTCAGGGCGGTCACACGCAGCCTAACCCCCTTTCTCCTGAGTGGGAAGACAGCACAGCTGGCTGACATGCTGGTCATCTGAGGGAAACACCTCACTGCTGTTACATCCCTGTTGCCCAGCAGTACAACTTCATCCACAGACCCCCCCAACATAGTGTAAAGAAACAAAATATTTTGCACTATTCCGGTAACTGCTTTTAGTCGAATCTCGCTATCCTAACAACCTTCCTGGCATGATAGGACCTGCAGAACAATAGTTCCAGCCAGTGTAGCTTGTTGGCTCATTGTGAGTGCAAGCCATGTCAAGGTAGCAGCTATGTATCAGGATGAGTTTATAAGATTTATATTCAACCCAACCTTAACTAGTCAGTAACTAGTGTAATGTGTCTATGCCTTTCTTCAGTGCATAGTGAAATACATCGTTCAGTGTTTCAATGTGGCCCCCATGATAGGCTGCAGGTAAATCTCACTGACTGGTGAGTAGCAAATAGTGACGAAACCTACGTCAAGCAAGGCTTCCTGCTAATTGCTTTTAACCATACACTAACAAAAATTCACAGTGAACCGTGATGGTGAACCACCTTTCACACTGGCCACATTGCAAACTTGACTGGCAATAGGATTCAGTCTGCGTCAAAGATAGGACTAGACACAGTACACTAGTGTTACTGACAAGTGTCCAATCAAAGTATCTAATACAATTCTATAGGAGGTCAATCTCCAGTTTGAATGACTCAGTGGTAACGTCTCTGACTGCAGGTAAGTAATGCGTGACATGGGTTCGAATCTCAGTAGGGATATAAGTTCCTTCAAGGTTGCAGAAACGCCAGCCTTGCTGACTGGTGAGTGCCAACAAGCAAGAGACCTAGTTTCTGGGCTTCTTATCGATTGCCTCCAACCATCTAATATCAACATGACAGAGATTATGTTTGCACCAGAAGGCATACAATTTGGCACATACTAGACCAGTATTTTTATGTTAGTTTGTACGGATCAGATTCGTTTCAAATTTGATCACAGATTATGGAACCAGTATAGAACCATTGAAAGCGAAGAAGTACTCAACAGGCGTTTTGCCCTTGTTCAGGAGTCTTCAGCACTACGACGACCTTACGACCCCACTAAAGATCAACGTCAAGATCTTTAGGTTACAAAGCAAGCTCTTTGACCAGTCGTCTGCAGTTGAGCTGGAATTCAATAGCCCATAAGTTCTAACTCTCGTCAATTCGATATTTTAATGCGACAAACAGCCAATATTATCGGTGAGTGTTTTCCTTACACCTATTTTGATATATCCCGCTGGTTACTTTTTCCCACCAGGAAAGCAGGCAACCTCATCCTGTAGCCAATCACCAGTCAGCTCCCAGACACGCTAAAATCTCTGATTGACACAGAGAGAGTATAAATGTTGGGTCATTGGATTTCAGTCCAAATGTCTGAACGACCAAGAAGCCTGCCTTGTGACGTGTAGGTTCTGTATTAGATTCCTGGCAAGGTCGCGGGTGTGTACAAGTGACGAAACGACTTTCCAGTACTTTCTGGTTGTCAGTGGTTCTTTCTCTAACTGACATCAATCCTTGACCAAAGTTGGGACTAAACCACTCTGTTGTAACTCCTTTTGAGGTACCATCGAAAATCACGTTATTAAGGCTGATGCACTCTCCAAAATCTGCGAACTCATCAATACACAATCAATCGTTTCACTATCCATCCTTAAACTATAAAGTCAGTGATGATCAATCCTATAACAAAATCTTACAATAGATAGAAATGAATCTCACATGGGAAACAAACTCTACTTCTTACCCAAAAGTTTCAGAGGATTTTTGCATTTTTGCTACAGTTTTCATCTAAAGGAATTAAAGGAATCAAATGCAGACTCGAGATCGTAAGTCGACACTTCTATTAGTGTGTTTTTTTATAATGACATGAAATAAAAGTGGTGAAATTTGATACTCCTGACGGACATGAATGATTGTCCTCACCTCGGAATACTTTTATCCGTCAGCTCTTATACGGTTGTATAAGTATGAGTACAAAGTACCTTGATTAGTATAATATACTTCCTCCGAATACCCTCATTCAAGCCACACATAGTTCTCCAGTACTTTTCAATCGACCGAGTCAAGTGAGGCCTGGCGAATTCAGCGGAGAAAATTTTCGTTATCGACGAAATCATCTTCAGAGACTGGCTGTACAGTTGTATTTATATTTACCAGAAATGTATAGTAGTCTATTATTGAGTAATACTGGATGAGGGGTGACATAATTGATATAATTACTCAGAAGTGGCTTTAGAAGTTAAAAATTACAAGTTGTAAATTATGTGGTACTCAACGACGGTACAAAGTTAGAAATTTGATAAGGTTCAAATTTCCACTGAGTGAGAATAAAGGTGGTAGTTGAATGTCAATTAAACAAGTGTGAAGAGGGTGAGAAAATGTACAATGCCATTTAGCTCCACCAGAGTTGTCTTTCAAGATCATCTACTAGGTAAGGCCAAATGGTACGAAGGGTGTCAGGTTTCGGCTTTTGTGTACGGCGGAGACGTTGGCAATTCGTCAACACAACCCCGAACTCTGTATACAGAAAAGGTTTGTCCAGTCTCTCTTATTCTACCTTGGTCTTCACCTCTACACTAGTCGTTCCCTGTAAATTTTTACTTTTAGTTTACTTTTGCTTCAATAATTAATTGACTATTATCACTCTCACATGTTCCTTTTGTACATTTTCACACCCTCTTCACACTTGTTAAATTGACACTCAAATACCACCACTTTTATTCTCACTCAATCAATAGCAATTTTGTACCTTATCAAATTTCTAACTTTGTGTCGTCGTTGAGTACCACATAATTTACAACTTGTAATTTTTTACTTCTAAAGCCACTTCTGAGTAAGTATATCAATTATATCACATCTCACCTTATTACTCAATAATAGACTACTATGCACATTTCTGGTAAATATAAATATGACTGTACAGCCAGTCTCTGAGAATGATTTCGTCGATAAAGAAATTTTTCTTCCCTGAATTTGACTTTTACTTTCTTTATGACTCAATGGGTATTTTCGGTGATTTGACGCCTTGCAGTCAATAAATATAGCAAGTACTGAAAATAAGTAGGTATGTATGTGTTATGTACTCGTCGCCAAATTATTGTTATGTACTGGTTGAGAATTTAATAGTCCTGACGCAAGAAAGACGGAAATCAGAAGACCACTAGGTTTGCGATGATACTTCTATTTTCCAAACACAAGGAGAATGCAAATAGCGGTATCACACCAAAGTAAGTCACACAAGATTGTGTGAGCGAAATATATATGAATGTCCAGACAAGTGTGTGAACAATTCAATAGACAGTCTTAACATGAATGGCTAATTATAATGGAGTGTCGATCCATATATACATAGCAAAATATAGCAGACATGTCAACAACCACACATATAATATGGATATATGTCACCAAGCAACGGACTGTCAACAAACACTCATATTATATTATATATAATATAGGGGGAATATACATTGTTAAAGGAGACGGGTTCATCAATGTGAAATGGTCACAGACTAAACGAGCAACAGAAAGAGAGATCACCATACACACACACATATGTATATATATGGATATGGATACATATCAGTATGTATTGCTGAACCTGCCGAAAGTTGAAGATATATGTATGTATGGTCGATGCTCCGTCGTCCGCGGCTTAAATTTTACCTAGTTCGCTTAAACTTATTTCTCCTCACGCACCAAGTGATCTTCGCATATTTATGCAATCATTAGATCGCTAACTATTGAAAATAGACACTGTATTGTACAGCTGTTTTTCAATGCTCAAATCTGAACTTTTTACCAAGCTTCTATGCTGTTTACTTGCAAGTATATAATATATATATATAATTTCCTCCACTGTAATAGTTCGTCCTAGAAACTGTCAAGTTTTAATACCAATAAATTGTCCGTTAACTTAATAAATTTCCGGCTTTCCCGTGATTTATCTCGTGTCTAAGCCAAACAGTCTTGAAGTGTTGGTTTGCACAGATTTGAATGGTTACACGATTTTCATCATGAGCTGACGTCGATTAAAGAACCATTGGAAGCATCACTAGGCAAGGAAGGAGTACTGGAAAGATGTTTGATCACTCCATATTAGTTTGTTTATTAGATGTATCACACAGTCAGTGAGACATTATTATTTACTGGATGACACAGTTTCGAACACAATTTACTCATTGTTCATAATCATTTCATCAATTATAATCACACACGACTTCGAAACTTGACTTTTATAGTTTTCTTTATTCTCTCCTCCTATTTGTCGTCGTCGTGTGGGGTAGTAGAATTTTCCAGATGTCAAGGTGGACAGGTGTTGAATCATTCCTGTTACATGTATTTGCAGTTGATTCGAAAAACAAAGCTTCCGCTGTTATCAATCTCCCCCCTGCACCATGTTAGTTGTATTAGAGTTTGAAACTGTCATCTCATCCATCCATCCTGTATTGTATGGTTGTGTATAATTGCATGTAGTGTGTACTATAGCTGAACTATTCTCTAAATTTCTTATCTTATTTGATCAGTCAGACTAGCTGAGCATAAAAAACCAGCAGAGAAATCTAGATTAGTTGACCCGAATAAGATAAGAAATCTAGAGAATAGTTCAGCTATAGCACACACACTACATGCAGTCACACACAAGCATACAATACAGTATAGGATAACATGACAGTCTTAAAATCTAATGTAACAGCAGGATGGACGGAGAGATCGATGACAGAAGCTTTATTCATCATATCAACTGAGAGTGAATACGTGTAATAGGAATGATTCAACACCTGTACACCCAGATATCTGGAAAATTCTATGATCCTAATGGCGACAAATAGGAGGGAATAAAGAAAACTTTAAAACTCAAATATCGAAGTTGTGTGATTATTATTGATGAAATGATTATGAACAATGAATAAATTTTTTTCGAAACTGTGTCATCCAGTAAATAATAATACTGTCTCACTGACTGTGTGATACATCTAATAAACAAAGTAATATGGAATTACTTACTACCACAGTGCCCAAGTTTTACACATATATTACGCCGTTTCGTCAGCCTAGTTTAAAACTCTTCAGCAGTACAAACCTACCACCAGGGTTAAAATTCACGACCTTACGGTTACAAGGCGAGCTTGTAGACCATTAAGCCACTGGAACCCGACCCAATGAATTCCAACTTCTGCCAATTCACGATATAGTAAGACTGGCACTGGCCAATGTCATCGCTGGCGAGTGTTTTGTCCTTATTTCCGACTTCCTGTACCGTAAAGGTCACGACTTCCTACTAGTAGGTTTGCACGAGTATTCCCAGTTTGTCCGAGATGGTTTTCTAATCGTTGTCAGCTCATGATGAAACCCGCCACAGTAACCAAACGGTTTTCACTGTTATTTTGACTGACTAAATTTCAATATAGAACTTTGCACAGAAGTCCCGGGCATTAACATTCCACACTCTGTGTAACACTCAAATGTAGTGAAAACAACAAAAAAAAACTCATAAGAACCATAATGATCGCAAATGTACAACAGAAATAACAGTAACGTGAAGAAACATAAGGATTCCGGAGATTAAAAAAAAAGGTAAATATACATCTGCATCAATTAGAACGTTTTCTGGCTATATCATTAAAACAGTCTTAGTATCGCGAGATCCCCAACAACACAATCTACAGCTCCTTACGTGTCTGGATCAAGTTAACAACCAAAAGACTTCATGGATTGATGTTAGGTTTCAATTTCACCATCCCTAATTATTCATTCATTCTAACCTACTGTTCAATAAGGTGAAGAACAAGAGATGCTGCTGTTGACCAAATCTGCTCGTATGGAGCTAGATTGGTTGTTCGACTCAATTTTTTGTCTGAGAAGGTGTAAGAACACTATCCTGCGTGATTGTTACGAAGAGGTAGAAATGGAGCTATAAGAAGCGCGATTATTGAACATCTGGTTGATGCTGATCACTCAATCTCTATAGCCTCAGTCATTTAAGTGATCTACAAGGCAAAAAGTAATTTTCCCAAATCACTCTAGGTATCCAAGTCATGTATATGGCTGAAGCCATCTTTGGCCATCGAAATTGAAAAAGCCAGATCTCTGTGTGTACAGAAAAAGTTCGTTCATCCCCACCACCTTTCATGGTCTTAATCCCTCTTTATGCTAAAGTATGGCGATCCCTAATCATATTTTAGCTCTACCAATTTTTCATTTTTCATTTTGTTTATTCAATTTGTATACTCTTCCTTTATTACATCAATTGTTACTATTACTATACTCACTTTGAACTGTCCCCGGTATTATTTCACTTGTTCCACTTGTCATTCTGAATCAATTTTATTTTGCAACGTTAAATTCTATGCTATTAAATTTCACACGATATTACGTAACGTTTTTATTTTTATTCTGTTCTCCTACTTATCCTATAATTGCACACCTCTTCCAAGATCTATACATCGTATGAATTATTCTATATATGACACTGGTTGTTTCGCCACTTCACATTCAACTATGATTTATTCACAAATATTTTAATTGCATTTTATACTACTATTATTATTATTTTATGTATTCATCATGAGCTGACATTAGTTAGAGAAGCATTGGAAAACCTGGAAGTACTGGACAGTTGCTTCGTCAGACTAGTTTGGGACTCTTCAGCAGTACGCACCCGCCGGGATTCGAACCCGGGACCTTCCGGTTACAAGGCGAGCTCGTATACCATTAAGCCACTGGGACCCAATCCAATGGTCCTTGAATTCTAACTTCTGCCAATTCAAATCCCTAAAAAGCAACACTTGAATACCAATGAGATGCTCACTGGCGACTGGCCCTATTCAGGTAGGTAGTTACCTGGGTTCAGTGGGAAGTCGTGACCAGTAGGGTGCAGCTGCTCGGGTGTGAGGACAAATACTCGCCGAAGACACTGGCTAGCGGTCGCGCTATGTCGTGAATTGGCAGAAGTTAGAATTCAAGGACCATTGGATCGGGTCCCAGTGGCTTAATGGTATACGAGCTCGCCTTGTAACCGGAAGGTCTTGGGTTCGAATCCCGGTGGGTGCATAGTGCTGAAGAGTCCCAAACTAGGACGAAACAGCTGTCCAGTACTCCAGGTTTTCCAGTGGTTCTCTAACTAATGTCAGCTCATGATGAAATCCTGAAACCAATCAAATCCCCACAAAGCAACACTTGAATATTATTTTATGTATTCACACCTATGAATCAATTCCCTTACCGGATATAATTTCTTAAAAAGGCCATATATATATGTATATATATACGATTTTACAGCTGATAATTAATTCTTTGATTGCATGAAGAATTTCATCGTGAGCTGACACATCAGTTAGAGAAGCACTGAAAACCTGAGAGTACTGGACAGCCGTTTCGTCCTAGTTCGGGATTCTTCATCAGTACGCACCCACCGCCATTCGAACCCAGACCTTCTGGTTACAAAGCGAGCTCGTAGACCATTAAGCGCCACTGGGATCCAATCCAATGATCCTTGAATTCTAACAGCTCTCCAGTACTCTCAGGTTTTCCAGTGGTTCTCTAACTGATGTGTCAGCTCATGATGAAATCCTCCATGCAATCAAACAAAATCGCTATAAAACCAATATTTGAAAAATAAATTCTTTGTTTGAAAGATTCTCTTCGCTCAGTGACCACTTGTTTTGATTTTGCTCTATGTTACACAATGGGAATTTTCCATGAATTGGAAAATAATCCTCATGTCATCTAACATTACTGGAAGAGGAAGGCAGTGCGTCAGCATGTGCGATATGTGCTCCAGTCATGTCTATTACATGATACATCAACATTCATATATGTGTAAACATAATTTACCCAAATTCCCATCCACAATAATACTGCTTCGACAACTTTCCACTCCAACAACATAACCGCCTGTTTCACAATGGAGATTCTCATTCATTGGAGTTACTGTTGTCATAGCTGAATAATTATTTGGATCTGTAAAAATATAATAATAATAATAATAATAATAATAATTTGCTTTATTTCAAAACAGTACTTGTGAAAGAGAATGGAATTTTCAGCATTTTACTACTACAGTATTGCATCCAGTTTGTACATTAACAATAAATAAAATTCCACATAGATTAAGGGAATCTCAGTTAGTTTTGACAACAACATATTGCATGTCGGTAGCAAAGCCAAAAGTCAACAAAGTGTTTGAAGGTGTTAGAAAAGTAGGTGCTAGCCTATTTACTGGCGTAACTGGGGTAACAAAAATGTCGAGATATACAGAGTGTGAAAGAAGGAAGAAGAATGTTTCAATAGAGTTTGTAAGGAAGAGAGAAACAAAACAGCACATAACAGAAAAAAAATAAAAATAAAAGAAAGAAAGAAAACTTTGTACCTATAAATGACATGAGTTGGAAGGACGAGATACAGTTGTTCTACTGACTATTTAATAAGTTATAGGTATGGCGCCTAATGCTTTCTTTATCACACAGAACACGAGCTAAATAGGGTATGGTTGAGTTTTTGTACTTACTAGTGCGAGCATCTAGTTTTCTATATAGGCTTCTGGTCTACCTGCCTGATGAGATACAAGGGGAGAGTTGTGAATGAAGAGGGTGATGGTGTGAGTTAGATAGATAGAATGGATTTAGTCCATTTTTCACATGAGTCCAAGTGCCTGTCGACCATAATATTAACAAGCTGGTTAAGTGGCACGTTGCTTACCTTGCAACAAACAGTAAAGGAAGCAATTACTAACTACTCTGATAATCTACCTTTATGACAACGAATATTAATCTCTTTTTTCATTCTACAAGTGAATGAAAGCTATTCTCAATTTCATAAAAAAAGATAAACTAACTAATTTCACCTCTTTCATGTGTATCGACTAATTTAACTGCTCCTGTGGAGTGAGCCAGTTAGTTACATAGGCCATACAGTTTAGGTGTGTTTCTCCTCAGATTTCTGAACATCACCTTGCATAGTGGTTGGTTAAGTAAAGGAAGAACTAACAAAATCTATTCACATGGCGCTATTCTATCGCATCTTGTAGACGCGGAGCACAAGATTGATGTCAACGAGGCAGCTTTCAAAGTCCTCTAACGCATACCAACCAACAAATCATAACTTCGCCTTAAGAGTTTTGTCTACTACACATTGCTGAGACTGGCCCTTGGGATCCACATTAAGAAGGGTAATTTATGCGTCTAAAAGAAGCTAGTTCAAACATCAAGCCATCTAGGTTCAAATGATCTTTAACTTGTTATTGTAGAGATCCCTGTAACTTTAGATGATATTCTATTTGCTATTATATTATTATTATTATTATAATTTATGCATCTTTAATGAACTGTAATTCCATTGATCTTACCTTACAATTCGATATTATTTGAAGAACACTAATAGTATACAGAACATTTGTAGCCCAGGTGGATGACTATATATATATATATATCAGTGCTTGATTTCGTTCTAAGATCGTTTCCACTGAACTACTAGTTTTCGGGTCAATTGAGCATCAATTTTTCTGATTGGTTGGCGATTGACCCAAGGTTAGACAGGTTTATCCAATAAGATTATTTCATGTCCACAAAGTAAACTAAATCCAAATTTGAGGAATAAATACTTCTACCTCTCTAGCCATTGACGTAACATGTTGATTTCAATTTTTCGCAGCTTCCTATGAATCTACATCTACATAAAACATCCCAAAATACAGTGGGAGAACGAACCAACGTTGCCATACAAGTAACTCATCTCCTCGGTTGGCAGATGAAATGATTATATAATCTAACTGGCCGGGATTTCATCCCTTCCAAAAGACAAAACATGTATCAATACAAATAATGAGTAATACACAGATGTGTGTGTGGGGGGGGGGGAACCGTACAGCAAAGAAAAGCATAAAAGCATCACTAACCTTGTCTAGGTGTTTGAATACCCTCCTTAATATGTTGTGCATCTTCTGGAGGAGTTAGATAGGATACCGTTTCAGTTTCACCACCACTATCATCAAGAAGTAATTGTGGTAAATCTGTTGAATATATCAATGATTGTTGTTGTTGTTGTTTTGACACATCTTTCATGTGAACATCATCATTTATATACGCAAAGGAATTGCTGGCGTCGTCTGTTCTATCTGATATAGAGGTTGTCCATAATGAAGACAAATCATTTTGTTGTTGTTGTTGGTCTTCTTCGGATTGATGTTCTTCTTCTTCTTGTTGTTGTTGCTGCAGTCCTGACTGTAGAATCCGTAAATTCTTTTCATTGTTGTCATAGTAAATTTCATTATTTGTATCGTTTGTAATTGGATGATTGATTTTTGTTGAAGATTGCAGGATTAAGGTATCCTTGAATTAAATGTACATATACTTTTATAAATCAATAAATTACTTAACGTTCATTTTACTAAAGTAGGCTAATACGATACCTTTACGCATTTGTACAAGATGATCAAAATAATCTCGGTAATATTAGATTGTTGAAGGCAATCGGCCATAGAAGCCTTCAACCTAGGTTTCGTGCAGCTTGGCACTCAACAGTTAACAAGGTGTATCTGCAACCTTGAAGGAATTCAGTTCCCTTCTAAGATTCGAAACCGCATCACCCAGTACTGCCTGCAGTCAGAGACGTTACCACTGAGCTTTTCGGGCTCGCGATTGATCTCCTGTAGGACTGGACACTAGTAACTAGTGTGATCTGTCTGGCTAGCCCTTTGTATAGTGTAAACTGAATTCTATCACTCAGGTTTTGCACTATGGCCAACAGGCCACTAGGTAGCTCGCCATCACGGTGCACATTGATTTGGTGATATTAGTTGATTGGAAGCAATCGGCAGGAAGCCCTGTTTGACCTAGATTTCGTGATTGTTGGCACTCACCGACCAGCAAGGCGTATCTGCAGTCTTGAAGGAACATATAACCCTTCTGAGATTCAAATCCGGTTTATCTAGTACTGCAGTTAGGGGTGTTACCCCTGATCTTTTCAGCCTCGATATTGACCTTCACTTGGACTGTGATAGACACTCTCATTGGAAACTAGTTAATATCTACCGTCATGAGTCTAGTCCATGGTGTTTGCGCAGACTGAATTCTATCAGTCAAGGGTACAGTGTGGCATACCATTGTAACGACAGAAGACGAGGGCCAGGAAACAGATCGATTATTGACAAAATCAAGAGTATTTATAGATTTTTATGTAATTATTATTAGGGTTATTGTTAGCAGAGAAGCAACCTCTTCTGATTGGTTGTTTTCTACCCCAAGGTTATTCTGTCATCTCTTTGTGGGCGTTTCTTAGAAAGTCCGGTTATATATCTATACATCGTATCCACCCACGCTAAGTCCTCTGTGATTGGTTGTTGAGTTCCTCAAGGTTAGTCTTTTTTCTTGTTTCTTCTCATAACCCCACTTTGGCGTGAATTGTTGTCTACCAATTTTGCCTAGCAGACAGTTCTCATCACAATTTTAATTTATAAGTTTAAACAAGTCCCCCCCTCCAGATGATCACTGAATATCTGATCATCGAACCAGTTTATAGAATATAGAATAAAGAATAATTCACCTGTCAACCCCCCTCCCACCCCACCTCACATATTAGACATGCAAAAATGCAAAAATAAAACTAAAAAGCCAGTTACAAAGTTATTTGATAACCTTGATATAATTAGAAGGAATGCATTGCACTTAAAACTGTAAACGAACTGCAATCACTGAAACATAAACTTGATGCATTATAGGGACCAAAAAGGGCTCAGACACTTCCCAGACGCCCAGACAGAAGAAGACGGTTCTGTTAAGAGTCACCTCTCAAGCCTTTGACTTGAAGTCTGGTCCATAATGTAGTGTAGCAGCGTCAAGAACTGCGTCCCCCCAAAAAAGGTTTATATGACATTCAAGGCGTTCGGATTTTGGAGCCCATGTTCACCATAGGTTCGAAATCAGGGTTTTCCAGCTCCCCTCCCCTAAAAAACAGACCTACATATCCACCAATCTGGTTGTAAGCGCAAGATGTTCACATTCACTCTTTCACTTTTGTAAGGAATATCCCTGCCGCATGAAACCACTGAAGAGAACTTGTCTAGCAGAGACTAATGAACGTGTGGCAACATGGCAGTATTCTGAGAAGAAGACTAAAGTCTACCAATCCTCCGCTGTATCCTGTAGTTCATATGCGAGTTTGCGCCGTCCCTAGCGTAGACGTGGTATACGGTTATCGATCGAAGGGCGTTTGTAATGCTCAGCAGTTCACTCCGGCCTCCTTTATGGCTGTGAGCAAAACATGGCCATTGAGAGTGGAAGACATGAAAAGCCTGGCTAGCTGTCTTTGATCATAGGTGCCTGCGTTCTATCTCCCTTGTGTGTTAAGTGTATAATAAGGTGAGCAATACTGAGGTTAGGTATTGGTCGAGTGCAAGGTAACTTGGAGGGGAAATCAATCGACGAGACTGTGAAGTATCATCGATTGAGATGGTAAGGACATGTGTTATGTATGCTTAGCCATTGTCTTCCTCAACCGACGAGCAATGTTAGCTGACGTTGGATGGTTCAAGTAGGAAAAGAGCCAACTAGTGGTGGTCATACCAAAACATGGCTTCATCAGTCAATGAGGTCCACAAGAGTTAGTTAAAGCCAGCCACATGTGAAGGTGTAGACTGCCTGACTTAGTGGTTGGTGTCCTCGGGACAGTAAAAACCCATACAGGCTAGAGACAGTTGATGATATGGCTCAACATCGTTGTCAATGACTGGCACAGATACATCCACTCCTTGTTACTTATAATACTTAATAAAACTATATTGTTCTTGGTTATGACTATTCTTTTTGCCTTATATCTCTCATTACTGTCACAGTTTTGCATTTCTTTTTACTATCTCCTTCTTCTCTGGTTTTGTGTGCTAAGTGGAGTGTGGTGACTCTAACTGCAGCATATCGGTTCTATGTTGAAACCAGTTAATCAGTCAGTCAGTCAGTCAGTCATGTGCGTCAGTGGCACAGTGGTTAGAACTCTCGCCGACCATGCACATGGTCTGGGGGTTCGATCCCCTGCCCCTACGCACACCTTGATATCTATGGTCGTCCTGTAAAATTTGGGCTACCGAGATCACATGCTGAAAATTCCGTACCTGTAACAAAAAATATGGTGTGGAATCAAGTTGTAATAAAAAAAAATAGTTCATGGGGGGCAAAAGACTGTTGAATGATATCCAACATCAAGAAAGCCCTCGAGTATAACCCGAATTAGGCAACAATGAGTTAGGCATGTGTCCAAATGTGACATACAGGAGATCGTATCCAGAGGGGGAGGAGGACAGGATGAAAGCGCCAACAGTCAGTCTTAGAGCCAGCTAAAAAAAGTACTGAAGAAAACAAAGTGAAATAGTGGCGTGTACTAACTGCTGAAGTCCTATGTTCCAAATGAGACTTTTTCAAGAAAATATACTAATAGTAAATGGTACTAAGAATTAAAACAATATATAGTGGTCTATTATTGAGTAATACTGGATGAGGGGTGACATAATTGATATAATTACTCAGAAGTGGCTGTAGAAGTTAAAAATTACAAGTTGTAAATTATGTGGTACTCAACGACGGTACAAAGTTAGAAATTTGATAAGGTTAAAATTCCCACTGAGTGAGAATAAAGGTGGTAGTTGAATGTCAATTAAACAAGTGTGAAGAGGGTGAGAAAATGTACAATGCCATTTAACTCCACTAGAGTCGCCTTTCAAGATCATCTACAACGTGAGGCCAAATAGTACGAAGGGTGTCAGGTTTCGGCTTCTGTGTACGGCGGAGACGTTGGCAATTCGTCAATACCCCCCCCCCGAACTCTGTATACAGAAAAGGTTTGTCCAGTCTCTCTCTTATTCTACCTTGGTCTTCACCTCTACACTTGTCGTTCCCTGTAAATTTTTACTTTTAGTTTACTTTTGCTTCAATAATTAATTGACTATTATCACTCTCACATGTTCCTTTTTGTACATTTTCACACCCTCTTCACACTTGTTAAATTGACACTCAAATACCACCACCTTTATTCTCACTCAATCAATAGCAATTTTGTACCTTATCAAATTTCTAACTTTGTGTCGTCGTTGAGTACCACATAATGTACAACTTGTAATTTTTTACTTCTAAAGCCACTTCTGAGTAATTATATTAATTGCGTCAGTCCCTATTACTCAATTAAAACAATCTCTGGCGCAAATAATAAACACAGTACAAAGAAGTGTACACTGAATCTAACCTCTTGTTTATTATCCTCCCTCTGGAGAGATTGATACGCATCAGTACACCCAATTGACTGACATGCCAATGATGTTCGAGCTCGTGGTTCCGGTGGTGCATCCATTAGCCTTTCATCGCTGACAGTTTTATCCATAACAGCGGATAAATGATTTATTCGTTGCCTAAGTTGTTCTTCTGCAGCTTCAGTCGCCTTTAAAACACGATTGGCAAAATGTTGTAACTCTGTCACCGACTGACTTGTATTTAAACATATTTGATTTAAAGTGACATTCACTGTATTCTCGGTGGGTAATTCATATTTCATTTCATCACAATTATTCGTCTTATCATCGTTGTCGTTGTCAGTTCCTTCTTTATCTTCTTCTTCTTCCTGATGTTCCTGGTGGTGGTGGTGCTGCTGCTGGTCATTACTGTTACTTGTTTTCGAGGTAAGTTTTTGTGAATTTTCATCACTTTCTAATTCATCATCTAATGTGTCGTGAAAATTAATTGGTGACTGACTGTAATGATGGTGACGACAATATTCCTGTTGATAACCATGATGCTGGCGATTGCGATATTTATATGGGCTAAGAGAATTATCACCGGAATGTAAAGGTAATGAATTGTACACCGCTCCATCATCATCTTCAGGATCTGGACTAGATATAAATGAACCTTGATTTAATACACCAGCAGACAAGGCAGATGTGGATAGGCCAGTTTCAATTTTTATTCCTTTAAAACATGCACAAAAAAAAGAAAAACAGAAAGAGACGATAACGTTAAGTTTATATAAAAAGAAGTTAATAGGTAGAGGATATTACCATACTCATTGCGGTCAAGTTAAACTTTAAGCACCGCTAACTGCTTCCAATGGAGTGTGACCGCACCAATGACCTTGAAACGCCCACTGAGGCAGCCAGTGAAACCATTCAAATAATGTTGTCACAATAAAATATGCTCATCGAAGTGTCGTGTTATTAAATAGGATATATCTGGCAAGTTTCAGCTTAGGTTTGGGAAAGATTGAGTTATGCTTTAAAAGCCAACAACAAGTCAGGGTTAGGTTAACCTATTAAAGGTGACATTAGGGTTAGTTTAGGCATATTTTCACATTGAGGTTACGTTCAGGAAAGACTAGATTTGTTGGTAGGGTTAGAAGACCTAAATGATTACACATGCATAGAATGTGTGGTTAAATTACTCTGTTGATATAAGAGTAGAACTTGTGCACTGTGATGGTACAGTATAATTCCATTGTGAGTAAAATTTATTTTGATAAAGTCTTACATCGTGTTATACAGTAATTTTTACTGATGACCACGTTTCGAGCACCATTTATTGTTCAGTAAGTAATACTGTATAACATAATGAAGCTCTATCGAAATAAATTTTACCCACAATGGAGTTTTACTCTGTTGATACTCCAACCTAAAATTGAGAGCTATCTTTATCACATATATATTCCATACACAGAAAAAATGCCTCCTTTACGTGATTGGTGCGTTCAAGGTCATTCACTGATTGGTGGTGGGTAATGGTGCTTAAAAATTAACTTAACCCTCATTGTCTACTACAATGCCTACCTATACTTCCCTATGCTCATCATTCAATATTGCTGTGAAATGGTATTAAATGGAGCAGACACCGATTAGAGTACCATTGGAAACCATCAGGCAGGGAGGGAGTATACTGCCAGACAGCTGTTTCGTCAGCTTAGTTTGGGTCTCCTCGTCAGTACGCACCCACAACAGGTGGTCGAACCCAGGGCATTCCGGGACTCGATCCAATAGCCGGCCAGCTCATGAATTCTAACTTCTCCTAATTCATGGCATAGCGCAACCACTGCACAATATCTTCTTCGATGAGTTACTGCTTTAACTTAAACCTGTTGTTCCCTACTGGTCATTGCTTCCCTCCAGAACCCCAGGTTAACTGACCGAAGAGGGCCAGTCTCTAGGATGCGTCAGGTGAATTTTCAAGTATTGATTTTTCCGGAATTTTGTTTGATTGGTTGAAGGATTTCATCATGAGCTGACATCAGCTGCTGTGTTGTTAAATAGTGGTTGAATAATCAGCAAGCTCACCTTGTACTCTGAAAATCCTGGGTTCAATCCTTGGAAGGGGTCATTTCAGTTATTTGGGACAGGTTTTGTATGCGTCGCAAGGCTGACTGGTAAATTGTTTACCAATCACACACACACACACACACACACGGTCCACGTCCGATTCCCTGTAGATGCAGCACTCCAACATAGTGCCTAACTGACCAGCTGTTTGTTAGCTCATTAAAAAAAAGGAAGTTTAGGCGTGAGGGTAAAAACTTAATCCTTTAAGAAAAGAAACTACCTCTTTTGAAACTTAAAAAGTTCAAAGGCTTTTATCCCACTCAGAACTTAAAGAAATGAAGAAAAATAATAACACTAATATAATCGTGTAACCAATCAAATCCTTGCAAACCAACAATTGAATTTCACTCCAATGCTCACTAGTGACTGGCTCTATTCAGGTAGGTAGAGTTACCTGTGTTCTAGAGAGAAGTCGTGACCAATGAGATGTAGTAGGTTGGGTAAGAGGACAAAATACTCGCCAGGGATTACATTGGCTAGTATCAGTCGCGCTGTATCGTGAACTGACAGAAGTCGGGATTTATGGGCTGGCCATTGGATCGAGTCCCATGGCTGAATGGCTTATGAGTTTACCTTGTAACCTGAAGGTCTCTGGTCCGAACCCTTCAGTGGGTATGTACTGTTCAAGGGTCTCAAACTGCAACTGACGAAACAGACATGTCCAGTACTCTCTCCCTGTCTGCCTGTTGGTTTCTAATGTTTCTCTAACCGACGTCAGCTCATGATGGAAATCGTGTAACCAGTCAGTCAAGTCCCAGCAAACCAGAACGTGAGTAGTAATTATTATTATATCCTTTAATTCCTAGAGGAACATAGGGCTTCAGCCGCGCGCCTCCATTGCCTTCGGTTTTCTGCCAACTTTTTCACCCTGCTCCAAGTTTGCCCACATGCTTTCATCTCCTCTTCACATGACCTCCTCCTCCAAGTCACCCTCACACTGACGACCAACTCGCCGCTTCCGTTTCGGGTTCCACTCGAAATGGCTTGTCTAGTTATGTCACTTGATGGTTTCCTTCCTCAGAGTATGGCCAATCCATCTATCTCCATTTCTTCCTGCCTGTTTGTTTCACAATCGGTTTCTGGTTGGTTCGCTCATTGCCAGAGATCCCTGTTGCTGATCTTTTTCCGGCCATCTGATCTTGAGTAATGAGTAGTAATATAATCTACTTTTCTACTGAAGAAATAGAGGTGAATTGGAGACATACTCTGAGGAAACAAACCATCAAGTGAGATCACACGCCAGACCATCGCTCAAGTGGAACCCGAACGGGAAGCAGTGAGTTAATGATCAGTGTGGGGGTGACATAGACGAGGTGATACAAATAAGAGATGAAATCATGTGGGCAAATCATGAGGCCAGGTGATGTAAACGTTGGCTGAGACATACGCCTGAAGCCCTCCCTATGTTCCTCTAGGAACTAAAGGAGATAATAAGAATAATATAATAATACATTCTATAAAATTACATAATTATATAATTATTAATTAGTAAATGTAAATTTACCATATCGATTTTTTCTTAAAAAATAATTACACAAATTATTCTGATTCAATGTTCTGTTGAAATTATACTTCTTGTGAAATAGATAACCATATCTTGATGGCGGTGACAGATGAACACCAGAAGATGGCCATGTCAATGCAACACTCGCATCATAATCGATAAAATCAATAGGCATATTGATTGGACGAGAAGAAGAACAACAATTAGAAGTAGAAGTAGAAGAAGCAATATTCAATTGTGAATTGATTCTTGAAATATCTAATCGATTTGAGGCTAAATCACCAGCATAATCCCATTTGAGAACATCAGGATTTTCTTGAACTACTACTACTGTATCAAAGTCACTCGTAGTGATTGATTTTTGTTGACTTTTACTAAAAGATTCTAATGTTCCATTAATGGTGGTATTTTTCACCTGGAAAGAGAATATACATAAAAACAACAAAATTGACAGTGTTGCTGAAAAACATTTTTTTTTAGAATACTTTACTTTAAGGATCGATGTTAGCCAATCAGACATTGGAAATTAAACCACGTGGAACACCTGTTCTTTACCTGATTGTGTGAGTCGAACAGTAATAGTGCGTCGGTGGCACAGTGGTTAGGACTCTCGCCGACCATGCACATGGTCCGGGGTTCGAGCCCACACCGACGCACACCTGATATCTATGGTCGGCCTGCAAAATTTGGGCTACCGATATCCATGCTGAAAATTCCATACTTGTACCAAAAATACAGTGTGGAATCAAGCTGTAAATCAAAAATAAAAAAATAAATAAATAAATACGCAACTTAGGATTCTAAATCTATTTGAGCGTATATTCAAAATCTTTATTATTATTATTATTATTATTCCCTTGGGTTCCTAGTGGAACATAGGGCTTCAACTGCACGTCTCCACTTGCCACTTCTGTATTCCTTCTGCTGTACTTTTCACCTGAATCCATGTTCACCATCCATACTCTTTCAGCTCCTCTTCACACGATCTCCTCCATGTCACCCTTGCACTGACGTCCCACTTGCCTCTTCCCTTTCGGGTTCCACTCGAGAGATGGCTCGACGCTCACGCGATGTCACCCAGTGGCGGCCTCCTCAGGCGAGTGTCCAATCCATCTCCACTTTCTCTTGCATATTTGTTGGTTGGCGATTGGTTCTTGTTTTGTTTGTTCCCATAGTTTCTTGTTGTTGGTGATTCTTTCCGGGCCGGCCATCTGATCTTCAGTATAGAGCCAGTGAAGATAGTTGCTGGTTGATGAAGGTCTGCAACAGGCTGTTGGAAATATTCTTTGTAACCCATCCGCCAAGTTTCTGATCCGTATTCAAAATCTTAACAACTCGTAATGTATCACTACAGAAATCTTCAAATTTAGTATTATTGTTATTATGATTGTTTCTTTTAATTCCTAGAGGAACATATGGCTTCAGCCGCTCACGTCTCCATTGCGTTCGGTTCTCCGAAGAGACGTTTTCATCACCTGACTCACGTCTGCTCACATGCTTTTATGTCCTCTTCACATGACCTTCTCCATGTCACCATCGCACTGACGACCAACTCACTGCTTCCTATTCGGGTTCCACTCGAGTGATGGGCCGGCGTGCAATGTCACTTGTGGTTTGTTTTCTCAGGGTTTGGTCAATACACCTTCATTTCTTTCTGTGTATTTGCTACACAATTGCTTTCTGGTTTAATAATAATAATAATCCCATATTCCTTGGAAAAAACTCTCTTCTAGATGTATTTCCATAAATCTCGATGACGAGACATTACGGGAGGGGTCTGACGTGACAATACATGTACTTGTAGTGAATTAACCACTCTATGACGTCATGTGACTCTATGATTATTACTAATTTTATGTTCCAAGTGAAATCATTGGGCTTCACCAGCTTATTTCAATTTCATTCTGTATTCTTCAACCCTTTTTTTGTAGCTACCTGTACGATTGACCATGAGCTTTCATTTCTTCCTCACACGATCTCCTCCATATCCTCCTAGGACATCCAACCAACTCATTGCTTTTTAGTCAGATTCCATTCATGGTCTAGGACATGACGGCTCTTAACGGTCTTCTCCACGTGTGCCCAATCCATCTCCATTTATTCATGTATATTTTTCGGGCAACAGGTTTGTTCGGCGATAGCACCTCCCCTGTTGCTTATGCTTTCTGCGCGGCCATTTAATCATCAGCGTAGGGCGAAGGGAGTTGTTGATGAAAGTTTACAATAGCCCGTTGGGAGTGGTTTTTGTGACACACATATAGAAGCACTGAATTGATAAGTGTTGTTCCTTATGCTAAATATAGCAGACTTTCACATTTATGTTAGAGTAATATAAGTTCGTTTTGATTTTACGACCTTTCTTGGCTTAGATATCTGCCTATAGCTGAAGTGACGACATTGTCTAAATGGGTGAAGGATCTGTAATCAAAGTATTAGATAGACGATTTTTAAAATTTTAAACTCTACGGTGCACATAATAACTACCTCCTGAGAAACCTGAAGATATTTCTTTTAATAATCTGAATTAGGAACACCTAGTTGACGAGTCCCAAACAGACGAAATGCGCATCGTCATCAGCTAAATTTTCATAAATAAATATTAACTACTTACAAAATGAATAGTAGTAACCAACGTATACGCAAAAATAAAAATTGTAAATCATATATCACTTACTGAGTTGGAGACACTGGACGAGGCTAAAGTTGGTGATATATGCACCTCAGGAGTGAAACATTTTGATCTGTGAGACATTAAATTCTCCTCATTGATATCATTCATCAAGTCAATAGATGATTTGACATTTCTTATACTGTTGTCTGATGTAAGTGTTTTTCTAAAGACATACGATTTATTCGGAGTTGGTGAGAGAAACGACGTCTGCCAAATAAAATGAAAAAACACAACATTGTTGACTTCAAAATATCTTAGAATATGAATTCTAGTAAATTGAAACCCGCTCTGATAGATTTTGAGGAGAAATGTATAATGTGAAAGTGGCTAATGTTATCTAGAGGTGGAATTCAGGATTCGTATCTAATCCTATTTGGGACTTATCAGCTGAATGTACCTACAATCTCGTGACAGTGGTGATTTTCCCAATGAGACCAAACCCAGCCTGCAAGATTTCCAATACCAAGACAGTATCCGAAAGGCTATGATAATGCTTTGGTATTTGTAACGAAAGGTGCTAATTTCGAGTCTCATTGGGGGACAGTAACACCCATAGGAACTCTAGGTACCTTCAGCTTGTGAGTCCCAAATAGAACGAAATGAGCATGTTGGGTTCCGTCGGTAGTCACCATACACCATATATAACATCATCTAGATCCTCGTGTATCTTTGATGCCTCCGCACTAAGAGCCGATATGTCAACAAGACAGACTGAAAATTTCAACCGACCATAATCAATCCATAGGAGACACAAAATAAACTCAAACAAATAAGTAACACAAATTTTGAGCAGTTTTTATTCTTGGATTTAATTCTAAAATAGGTGTACGCTGGCAAGTGTTCCAGTCTCGATTCCTGGCCAATGTCCTACTAAACTCTGCCCAGGTGGTAGGTAGTAAGCACATAAAAAGAGGAAAGGTGACGAGTCACGTTCACATCGTTACTCAACAAAGAAACAAAAACGCTGTTCTTAAAAAGTCAGAGAAACTCAAAACTCTATGTGTTTCATTAAGAAAGCAAAGGGATAATAATGGCAAATATTGTTATCATTTTAAGTGAATATATTTACAGAAATACTTAAATGTTTTTCTTTATTTATTTACTGGATGACAAAGTTCAGAACTCAATTTATTTACTGTTCATAATCATATCGTCAATTATAATCACAAACGACTTCGGAACTTCAGTTTTATAGTTTTCTTTGTTCTCTCCTATTTGTCGCTACTGGGGAAGTAGAATTTTTCAGATATCTGGGTGGACGGGTATTGAATTATTCCTACTACACGTATGCTTTCCAGCTGATTCGATAAACACGATCCATCATTTAACCGACAAAGCTTGTTTCTAATTGAGTTTGTAGGTTTGAATGCCCCCAACTTGTATTCCTGAGTTATTAAGAATTCTCCTCCGTAAGGTTTCCATACAAGAAGGAACACTGGAAACCTTACGGAAGAGGGTTCTTAACAATTCAGGAATACAAGTGGCGGGCATTCAAACCAACCACAAACTCAAATAGAAACAAGCTTTGTCGGTTAAAGGATCCATCTGTGAGGCCTTTAAAACAAAACAATTTAGTTTATCTAATACACTGCTGGAATGATTGTCAGGTCAAATACATCGGTCAAACTAGTAGAACAGTGTCAGTCAGTCAGACTAGCCGAACATAAAAACTTAGCCAAATCTAGATTGGTTGACCCGAATAAGATAAGAAATCTAGAGAATAGTTCAGCTATAGCACTCACTACATGCAGTTACACACAACCGTACAATAGGATGGATAAGATGACAGTTTTAAAATCCAATCTAATATAAGAGGGTGGAGGGGGAGATCGATAACAGAAGCTTGTTTGTCGAATCAACTAAAGAAGACACGTGTAATAGGAATGATTCAACGCTAGTCCACCCAGATATCTGGAAAATTCTACAAACCTTAGTGGAGACAAACAGGAGAGAACAAAGAAAACTATAAAACTCAAGTTTCGAAGTTGTGTGATTATAATTGATGAAATGATTATGAACAATAAATAAATTTGGTTCGAAACTTTGTCATCCAGTGAATACTAATACTGTTTCGCTGACTGTGTGATACATCTAATAAACAAACTAATATGGAATTACTTACTACCACAGTGCCCAAGTTTTACACATCTATCAATGTTTTTCTTTAACTTCGCAGTATTCCGATAATTTCCTCAGATTGCATATATGATTTTGCCTAAGTGACTCATAATTCCTATCGATCAGTCTAGGAGACGAAAACCAACGCCTTAATTATTTATATATAACGATTTCAGTCTGAAGATGACTAACACACTATTGGCAACAAAACTTTCGAAAGATGAGTGTACTTATTCCTCAGTAGAATGTTTTACTTTAATCCGGAAATTAAAAGTAAAAGAACAATATAGATAACACATATTTCTTAGAACGTCTGATGGAATCCAGACAGCAAGCTACACCTTAAACAAATTTCAAAGTCGTCTACACAGTAAGAAGTAGTCTTCCTAAAGGTGTACGAATCAGACTTCTTCAAACTGCAGAAGCAATGGCAATTCACTTGCTAAGTCCTGAACTCTGCATACAGAAGAAGTTCGTTCAATCACTACACTTGCAATGGACTTAATCTATCTTATTACCCGACAAGTAAATTCTACATAATCTTTTTACTTTTCTGTCTCTTCATTAGTATTATTTTGTCTTCTCAATTGTAATATTTTACATTTTCAACTTTCTTTTTCTCTACTCCCACCCGATTTACGTTCAACATCTCACTACCACTGTTACTGACTTGAACAACGCTCAATTTCTAGTCATTTATGACACATCATCCAACTTATTTGCTCAATTTCAGTTCTAATTTAAATGGCATTGTTCTCTACCCCACCTCTACTTAGTCTATACCTGTAATTACCTCTGATGTTACTCTGACCTGTGTTGAAACATTTTAGTCAATTATATTACATCATCTAACTAACTAACAAATAACTAACTAACTAACTAACTCAGTCTTACTTTAGTTGCTGTCTAATTAACTTTGTTTCTATATTAGATCATTCTTGTATTACCTGATCAATTATCTAAACATGACAAACCTCATGTACACACACACACACACAAATAATTATATATAAATGCGATTGTACAGCTATGTGAATGAATTCGCCGCCGAAAAGAGTCTCTTTGCTGAACGTCTTCTCTTTTTCATATGACTCAGTGGGGATTTTCAAGCTACGTATTTTTTTGTTCTATAGATGTTTCCACAACATTATTCATACATGGCTCAACTGTTGTGTGTGCTACTGACAAAATTTATCAGTAGTATATAGATTCAGATTGATAGAAAACAACATTTAAAGTCAATAGCTGGTTACAGAGGTAGAAGTTTTTATTCTTTACGCCTGAATTTAGTTTACGTTGTGGTCAGGAAATAATCTCATTGGACAACTTTTCTTGCCAGGGTTTATTATTATATATTATTATTATTATTTCCTTTAATTCCTAGAGGAGCACAGGGCTTCAGCCGCGCGCCTCCATTGCGTTCGGTTCTCTGGCAACGTTTTCAACTGGCTCCATGTCTGCTCACATGCTTTCATCTCCTCTTCACATGACCTTCTCTAAGTCACCCTCATTCTGACGACCGATTCGCTACTACCCTTTCGGGTTTCACTCGACCGCTGGCTTGTCTAGTGATGTCACTTGATGGTTTCCTTCCTCAGAGTATGGCCAATCCATCTATCTCCATTTCTTCCTGCCTGTTTGTTTCACAATCGGTTTCTGGTTGGTTCGCTCATTGCCAGAGATCCCTGTTGCTGATCATTTGTGGCCGGCCATCTGATCTTGAGTAGTATTGAGCGAAGACAGCTGTTGATGAAGGTTTGTAATTTGTTCGAAGTGCCCCAAGTCTCTGATGCATACAGTTAGTAGCACTGACTTCACATTGGAGTTGATAATCCGGATCTTATTTTTTTCATGCTCCAAACAGACTTGAGAGTAATGAAAGTTTGTCTTGCTTTTCCGATTCTGGCCTTGATGTCCTCGTCAGTTCCGCCTGTAGTTGAAACGATGCTTCGCAGGTAGATAGGTAAAGGAGGTTGTTTCTCTCAGGTTCCTCCCATTTATGCTGGCTGATTGTTGTCTGTTGTTGTTGCTGCCGTTGGTGGTGTTGGCCAGGAATCTTCATCATCACATCTGTCTCCTTTATGTTCACCTGAAGTGTACGCCTATCTTTGATGCTTCTTCTTAGGTGAACTTGTTGCTTTTCACTTGTATATCTTCCAGTTCGTGGGAAATCAGCCCAGTGTTTTCTTTGCTCCACTTCTATGGTGATTGACTTTCCATTGTCATCCTTCACTGGCTTAATTTGTGCCAAGATTCAACTTTCAGAAAATCGACAACAAATTAGAATAGTTTATTATCTGCTAACCTGGCCAATCTTCACTATGGCTAAAAATGTATAAATATGGTGTGTACTTCATTCATATAAAACGTCCGTTGTCAGATCTCTTGTCCTTTACCGTTACATAACCATCAAGTAAGTAACTTCGGGGTGAGACGTGAATGAGTAGGTGTTGAGGTAATATTTGATTTGTAATGTTCTGAATCCCATTCAGCTGAGGTATAATCTCATAAGTAGCTGATCACCACAATAGTATGTGGTTGCCTGGAGTTGCCTAGTAAGACGTTGTGACCAGTAAAATACATCAAATCGGATATGGGGACAGATGCTGGCCGTTGGTAATGGCTAGCGGTAGCATTACACATGGCGAATTGGCAAAAATTAGAACACTTGTCTAGATAAAACAGAGTCCAAGGGGAACATATCCAACGCATCTGTAGTTCCGATATTATGGAAACAGAATTAAATATTCTGAGAGAAATCTTCATCCAAAATGGATACCTACCAAGATTCATTGACAAAATATTAAACCAAGAATTTGGAGAAATGAAACGTCACTTGCGCCTGAAAAGAAACTCTACATGAACTTAGATTTCAAGGGAGATTTAACAAGCGACATTCTCAAGAGAAGGATCACATCATCTCTGAGAAGAAAATTCTTTGCATCAACGCTAAGAATAGTGTTCTCCAGTCGCCCACTGATCTGCAGAAGCCTTAAGGACAAAATCCCACATCTGACCACTTCTATGTGCATATATCAGTTTACCTAGGGCTGTGGAACCAGGTACATGGGTCGTTCGACACGCAACCTGTCCAAGAGGATTCAAGAACACTATCCAGAATGGTTGCAAAAAGGCAATAGTGGTGCAATAAGGAGTGTGATAATTGAACACCTGTTAACACTGATCATTCCATCTCACCAAACGCCTCCTTCAAAGTAGTCTACAGAGTAGTCAAGAATAACTTACCAAAGGCAATACGGTCTCGTCTTCTTTATATCGCTGAAGCTCTGACCATTCACATAGAAAAACTGGAGCTGTGCATGCTAAAGAAAATTACTCGACCACTTCTAATGTCATGGTAACAACTTTGTTGATTTTGATGACCTAATTTTGTTTGTTTGCCTGTTCTTTATTTGCTTATAATTCTTGTATCCATTTAGAACTCTTATGTAATTTCGTATTCTCTACTTTGTTCCTATGTGTATCCTGAGTAAAACTCAATCATCAAACTATTCATATCATTATTACAAACTTCTTTTTTAACAACTGTTTGTGACAACTCATCACCTTTGTTACTACTCTAATTTTATTATCACCTAATTTTCTTAACTGATTTTGTATTGCGTAACTCCAATTACACCAATCTTCACCTGTTTAGTTAAAATAACCACAACCGATTGTATTTTTGTTTGACAAACTTAATGTACACATGCATACAAAATAACACAGATCGGGTGTGAAGACAAATACTCGCCACGGATGACATCGGCTAGCGGTTGCGCTATACCGTGGATTGGCAGAAGTTAGAATTCATGTGCTGGCTGGCCATTAGATCGGGTCCCAGTGGCTTAATGGTCTACGAGCTAGCTCAACTTGTAACCAGAGGTCCTGGGTTCGAACCTTGGTGGTGGGTGCGTACTGATGAGGAGTTCCAGAAACTAGGACGAAACAGCTCTCCAGTACTTCCAGCTGATTTTCCAATGGTTCCTTAACCAATGTCAGCTCATGATGAAATCCTGTAACCAATCAACCAAATTCCTACAAATCAATACTTGAATAACACATATATATTTGCAATTGTACAGGTAAGAAAATGAATTCGCCGCTGAAAAGAGACTCTGCACTGAACTACCTGTTTTGTTTTCATTAGTGACTGGATGGAGATTATCCATGAATTAGAGCATATTTTCGTTCAACAATAGAATCAGATGGTATCCAATGGTGCAAGACTTTAAACTTCACCACTTCGATATGCAGTGAGTCAATACCATAATATAATGTAGTTGATTAGCAAGCCACCTGACGTCCTATCTGGCTAGTCTTGCAAGTCTCAGCATAAACTTCTTGTAAGAATATTCGATGTCGGTTGATGACGAAATCGCTCGCCTCCCTCTCTCTCTCTCTATTTCTCGTTGTAAACAAAGTTTTGGCTTTATGCCACTATACAAAGCGAATACACTCGTGTTTGTTTTTTCGGTAGACTTCTTCGAACCTTGCGGATAATGTTAGAGGATGCCAGGATTCGAACTCAGGGCTTTCCCGTTTCAAGATGAGCTCGTAGACCATCAAGTCACTGCGATCTGTCATCTGACACCCTTAAAGTGAATTTTGCAGATTAACCTTTTTGACCGGTGAGGTTAAATGAATGACCACACTTGGGTCTTGTATGCGTGTCTTCGATGGCTCAAGAAGCCAGAGTTCTTGCAAGTAATGCCTGTTGTCCGAGTTGGCAAAGGGTCCTGACGTTAAATACTCTATATGAAGTTGACGGCGTGGCTTTGAATGGCTATCAGAGGTGTTTCTATGGCTCTCACCGTTGTTTGTGGTCACAGAGTGAAGTGAAGATTACTCACTAGCCTGCAGAATAGTACTAACTGTAGTAGAGAAACGAGATGAGGAAGGTGATGTAGTAAAAGGGAATTGATGCTCAGGAAGGCTTCGTGTGCTTTTGGAAGTGCGTGGGCGGTTGTTACTTCCCGGCTGCCCACACCGTGGAGATTGCTTTATCTTCGGGTACCTGAAACAGAGAGATGGTTAGTGTTGCGTGACTGCAGAGCCTAGGGGACAACTGCTTGAAGCCAGCCGGTCACACACGGCCTGTGTGAACTGGTTTCTTGGTTTGGTTCCGTATTAGTAAACTTACCGCCGGTTACGGACCACCATTAGGTAAGCCGGGATGTACAATTTTTGGGGTCGACCTTTTCTAACCCCCTCCTTCCAGAGTGGAGAGACAGCATAGCTGGCTGGCTGGCATGCTGGTCATCTGAGGGAAACACCTCACTGCTGTTACACCCTTGTTCCCCAGCAGTACGACTTCACTCTCAGACCCCCAGCATAGTGTAAAAACAAAATTCTTACACGATGCCGGTAACTGCTTTTAGTCTAATCTCGCCATCCTAACAACTTTCCTGGCAGGCATAGTAGGACCTGCAGAAACATTGTTTCCAGCCAGTATAGCTTGTTAGGTCATCGCGATGTGCAAGCCCAAGACCGCCACGTCAAGGTAGCAACTATCGGTCGGGCACTGCGATCCGGCCCAGTGGTCAGCCAGCCCATGAATTCCAACTTCTACGAATTCACGATACAGTGCGACCGGCACTAGCTAATGTCATCGGTGGCGAGTATATAAATATATATATATATAAATTAAATTAAAATACCTCTGCTTCACTTGATGAGTTTGTTCGACTTGTGCTATTCTCTGTATTATAAGGCAGTACAAAGCCTTCAGGTGTTTCACGTCTTTCTTGCGTTATCGGAAGAGTATTTTGTTTAGAATCGACAAGTGTAGTAGGTGTTGAACTATTATCAGTTATTATTGGACTAGTTAAAGGAGTTAACTCAGGCGATGGAGTTGGCGGTGGTAAATATAAGCCGTAACGTTGACGTGTTGAAGGTATAGGTGAAGTGATAGCAAGTTGACAATTGCCATTCGATTCAGTAGCATCCATCCTGCTGATAAGATAAAAAGGAAGAAAAGATGACCGATTAGGCTATCAGAAATCGGCAGTATTGAATAAGAAATTGCATTCGATAAGACTTTGGATAAACTTTCAGATTTCCTGATGAAATCTATTAAAATTTTCAGAAGAATGGATACTGAACAAAGAATACTCTTTTCGATAACCTGTTCTTCTTCATCAGGCTCTAAATTTATATACACATTATAGTGAATGAAGAATGAATTAGTGTTATGAAAAACAACATTAATGCCGTTTAAATAACATCGAATCAATAATAATAATATCAATAGATTACAGTTCAATAGCAATAACATAAAATAAGCTGAATGTCAGAAGAATTAGGAAAGATAATATTACAAATTCATGAATTTATAGTCTCTACTGAAAGCCGGCCAGGGCAGTAGTAGTGGCTGGCTTGACTTGCTTCTTTTACGTACAGAGCACTGGTTGTTTGAGGCGAATCGCGATAGCCTCTGCTGTTTGGAGTATGCGGTGCTTCGATGATTTTGTCAATTTATTAGGTACCCGGTAGATTATAGAGAAGGATTCTTCAACGTTGGCTGGCCGGCTTTGTGGCCAGTTTGCACCAAAATGGTCCAATATCGAACTGTTAATGGTTTTGACTACACCTTCATTTAACCACACTGGTAGATATTTTTTAGCGAGCACGAAAAATCAAGTTCCTAGAGCAACGATCGATATAACTCGCTCCACCACAAGCGCAGTTGAATTGGTAGATACGATTAGAAGTGGCTAGCTAGTCTAGGTACTTCATCTTTTAGTCGAGGTAGCACCATCGGTCGTTTAGAGAATATTATGTGTAGTTTGCCAGCATTAAAAGTCATTTGAACTGATTTCTTAATTTCGTCGTAATTATCTCACTTGGTATATCGCCCTTGAATTGCAGTCGTATATAAAGAGGCTTCTTGTTTACATATAGTGAGTAGTCCACTTCCGCTTTCTTTGTCATGTGTTTCTCGTTAAACCTGTCGGGATAGCTATTTCCGATCAAAGTATCATAAACAATGCTAAATTCGTCTTCAATTACTTCTTCTGAGTATATAGCTCTAACTCTGTGGCTGAGAGTCTTCACTAAATTTCTTTTGTACTTGATAGCAACGAAGCTGTGAAAATGTGTGTATATTGTCCGGTCCAAGTACTTTTTCTATGCAAATTTCTTTTTATGCTACCATCTGGTTTTCTTGTAAGTAGGACATCCAGGAAGGCAGTTAATTCTATTTTGGGATTCCTCTTCACATGTGAATTTCATAGCCGAATGTACTTCATTCAATTCAGTAATTATTGTACTGCTATCAGTACCATTATCAAATCGAATGAAGGTGTCATCCATATATTGGCAATAAAATGAGAGCTTACTGATAAGGTTGTTCAAAGGTCCATTTTCTAGCTTACTTAGAAAGAAATCAGCCAGAATGGGACCCTATGGGGAGCCCGTCCACTTGTGTGTAAAGTGTACCATCAAATTTGAAATTTACATTCATGGTACATCTTAATGACAATTCTTTTAGGATTTCAGTATGTATGCCAATGTTTATCGACCTTAGAGCTCAATCAGTCTCCATCTCACTGATGGCGACAAGTCGTGACTGGTGGGTTCCGCCATGCCAAGGTGGAACGGGTAATCATCGAAGGCATTCGTGATGACAGCTCTATACTGACGAGTTGACAAAGAATTAGATAACCTTCGATCAAATCTCCTTAACAATGGATATCCTACAAGGTTTATTGAACGTAACATCAAGAAAGAATCCCCCCCCCTCACCTAGACAAATCACAATACCAAAGAAAAAACTGTTTATGAGTCTTGCATTCAAAGTTGACACCATTTCTGGATTGTTAATATAAGAATAAAACTTGTGCACTGTGGTAGAGTGTAATTCCATTATGGGTAAATTTTGTTTTGATAAAGTCTCACAGTGTTATACAGTAATGTTTACTGTAAACAGTAAACATTACTGTATAACACTGTGAGACTTTATCAAAACAAAATTTACCCATAATGGAATTTCTGGATTGATTAGAAATCGTTTATCTAAATGAATTAAACGCACTTTTCCTGAAGCTAATTTGCAACTCGTTTTTACCAGCCAACACACGATTAGACAATGCGTCAAGGGTAGATTACCGCTTATGTCCACATCTATGTGCAGTTTACTTTTTTACCTGCTCTTGTGGAGCTGATTATATTGGACGTTGTAAGCGTACTCTCCGAAAACGTGTAGCTGAACACTATCCGGTTTGGTTAATGAAAGGCGAACGTAGAACTTCAAAGTCGTCAATTTGTGATCACCTGTTAGAGTCTGGTCATTCAGCCTCATGTGATTCGTCCTTGAAAGTTATCTACATGGCATATCCGAAGCTTTAGCTATACATGAACAGAAACCTAAATTATGCGTTCACAGTTGGGTTCGAATCCAGCTGTCCAGTACTCCAGTGCTGGTTTTCAATGGTTCTCTAACTGATATAAATCCGTGATGAACTCGTAGAAACATAACTAACCCTTACAAACCAAACTATAGAAAATTAATCTGATGCTCGCTATTGACTATTGGCTACAGGATGGAGTTTCCTGGAGTTCTAGTGAGAAGTCGTAACCAGTGAGGTACATCCAGTTGTCACGTGTGAGGATGAATCTCCATACCGACAACATTGGTTGGGATTGCGCCAGATCACGAATTGGTAGAAGTTAGAATTCATGAGCAGATGCTTTATGTTCTCCTCTAACTAATATCCTAAATGCTTCTTTCTCCGAAAACGTTGTACCTGTTCCATGGAAAGACATTAAAATAGTCCCTGTCCCTAAACCTGGAAATAGCAAGAACGTAAAGTTCAGACCCATTGCCATCACTTCCCCGTTTCTAAAGCTCATGGAAAAACTAGTACTTCTTAAACTCGAACCCTCCCTTAAAAGCTTCGAAGACCCCAAACAATTTGCCTACAGACAGGGTAGGAGTACTTTAGACGCTGCAGCCGTCTTACACAACAGTATTGTCTCATCATTAGACAAAGGTGCCAAATATGTCCGCTGCACGTTTCTTGACTTCACTTCTGCTTTCGACTCTGTACCTAGAAGTCTCTTGCTAAATAAGCTCTCCATGACACAAACCGAGTCCTGGGTCACTAACTGGTTGCATTCCTACTTTTCAAACAGAATGCAGTACACCGTATACAAAGGGAATCCTCCTCTGCTGTGCTCACTGAAGCTGGTGTCCCCCAAGGTGCTGTACTCTCCCCACTTCTCTTTTCATTCTTCCTACATGACCTACCATCTTCAAATGACATTAACTTTGTCAAATATGCTGATGACCTAACTGTATCTTTACCTGTCAAATGTCAAAGTGACTGCTCTAAACTAAATGGCTTCTTATCAGAAATTAGCCAATGGTCCAAGGAAAACGGTCTCACCTTAAACCCCTCCAAATGCCAAACAGTTAATTTCACCTTTAGGCATAAATCTGACCTAAACAAACTGGTTAGCACTCACGAGGTGTGCAACATAGATGGCACTGAAATAGAAACCAAGTCGGAAATTAAATACCTAGGCGTCACTCTATCTTCTGATCTTTCCTGGTCGTCTCATATCTTGACGATTTCCAAGAAAATATACCGTCTTACCTTCTACATCAAGAAGTTAAGACATTCTGGTGTAACCCAACCCTTACTCCTACAATTTGTTAACTCCCGTATTCTGCCTATTATTCTCTATTGCTCCCCCTTAGTCTTTCCTGGGCTATTGAAGAAAGACTATACCTTATTACGTAGGATGTTAAAGGTTGTCAGCAGGGTAAGCAGTTTGCCACTTAGCCAGCTTGTTAATATTCTGGTGGACAGGCACATGGACTCATGTGAAAAATGGGCGAAATCCATTTTATCTGACTCACAACACCCTCTACATTCACAACTCTCCCCATGTATCTCTTCAGGGAAAACCAGAAGCCTATATAGGAAACTATATGCCCGCACTAGTAAGTACAAAAACTCATCCATACCCTACCTAGCTCGTGTTCTGTGCGATAAAGAAAGCATTAGGCATGAAACCTTTAACTTATTAAATAGTCAGTAGAACAAATGGATCTCGTCTTTCCAACTCACATCATTTACAGGTACAACGTTTTCTCTCTACTTTTTTTCATTCTGTATTTATTTTTGTTATGTGCTGTTTTGTTTCTCTCTTCCTTGCAAACTCTACTTAAAACATTCTTGTTCGTTCTTTCACACTCTGTATATCTCGACCATTTTGCTATCGCTTACGCCAGTAAATATGCTAGTAGTATCTACTTTTCTAACACCTTCAAACACTGTTTAAATTTTGGCTTTGCTACCGACATGCTAATATGTTGTTGTCAAAACTGACTGAGATAACTTTAATCTATGTAGAACTTTATTTATTGTTAATGTACTAACTGGATGCAATATTGTAGTAAAATGCTGAGAATTCCATTCTGTATCACAAGTACTGATTTGGAATAAAGCTTATCTTATCTTATCTTATGAGGTGGCCATTGAGGAGTCGGATCCCAGTGGCTGGATGGTATACGAGTTTGCTAGCCCTGTAACCGTAAGGTCCTGGGCTCGAACCCTGGCACTGTGGTGGGTGTGTACTTCTGATGATTCCCAAGCACTAGGATGAAACAGCAGTTTATGTTTAGTTCAGGGATAGTTCCGCGTTATGGTTAGGCTAAGGATAGATTAGGATTAGGCTTAGAAGACCTAAACGAATACATGCATAGAATGTCGTCTAGTTATTACTCTGATGACAATCCTAGGAGGTATTTTTGTCAAACGTCAGAGAACGGTTTCTTGTGTAACAGTCTCATGTCATTTTATGCATTATTTTCATAAATATGTGCATTTTTATACGCAAAACTCGCCTTTCTTAGTTGATTGATGGGTTACACCCTACTCAGTCCTAAAAGTTTAACTTCGCCCCCTCAATTTTGTTGACTTCTCATGATTTGTACTGCTGAAAACACTTTCACTAGAGCATTCTTTGACCTGTTTTTCAAATCCGACTTATTTCTCGAATTATATAAAACACTGACTTGTCTAATTTGAATTGTTCTATTGCAAGCATGTTTTCGTCTCATTCCTCACCTTCCGAGAGGAACATCCGGCGTCAAACTTTTAAGTTTCAGTAGCAGTCGATTTATTTTTACAGTGTAGGGTTACTCTAGCCCCAATTCAAATTTTCTATTTCCCTTGAACAAACTACCCGCTAAACAAGGTTTGGGAATCTATAGACATGGGATCGAACCAGGGCCAACTGGGTTTCTGGCAAACACTCCAGGCATGGACAACCGTAGCTAAGATCTCCAACCGCCAGAGAGAATCGAACCCTCATTCTCTGATTCCCGAGATTAGTGCTCTAAATAAGGAATTATGGGGGCCTGTGTTGTAAGCATAATATTATGTATTCCACAAATTTTTCCTTAGAAAGCGAACACATTTAGAATTACTTGCTTCTTTTAATGACATTCTTCTAAGCCTGAAGTACTTTAAATTAACCTTGACTTCAAGGTGAACTTGACTGCAGATATCTTCAAGAGGAGAACCTCTAATTTCCTAAAGATGACCTTTTTTGTAGCGACTCTAAGTTTGGTATTCTCCAATTGTTCATTACTTTTAAACAACATGAAGAACAATCTCTAGCATACAACCATTTTGATGTATGTACATGAGTTCACCCACTTCTGTAGAAATAAGCAATTTAGGTTGTTCTGTGTGTATTTTCAAAATGAGTTGGAGAACACCAGCCAACATAGCTGCAAAGAGATGAATTTGGCTTAGTTAGAAGTGCTGGAACCGGGCACGTTGTCAGTCAGTACTTGTCACAACAACTCAACTGACTCACCATTTAGAGTCATTTACAGGTTAAGAAGAAATATATAGAAGGCACTGAGCTTCCAACTTCTTTTCTCTGCAACACTCCATGATACATTCATGGAAAACCTGGAACTGTTACCATCGAAAGAAACTAGTTTAACCACTACAACTGTAACAACATAAGACAAGAGCCAGGCAACAGATCGTTTATTAAGGAAATCAACACGTATTTATATATATTTCATGTACATTATTTTAGGTTATTCAAGCAAACAAACACACTATTCTGATTGGTTGTTTCTCCCAAAAAGTTGACCTTGCACCTCTTTGTGACTGTTTCTTGAATGTCAGGTCATACATGTGTTAACTGTATCTGCCTTCGCCAAGTCTACCCTGATTGGTTGTTGAATCAGTCTTGTTCATATTTTCGCACGACCAATATTTGTGACACAAACATTGACGTCAATAATTGCCTACCAATTTGGCTAGCAGACTACTCTTACCGCACAACTACCTACCATAAAGTTTGTTGTGTTGCTTTGGTTTAGTTTATTAATCACCTCTCCCGTTCATATTCTCAGTTAGAATTTAATTTACTTTCTAGAGTTGGACCACATTCAAATCAAGGATATACAAGTTACCATTATCTTACAAAAGTATACTATTACGTTGAAGCAGTTGGTCACATATATGAGTTTCAAATTACTGTCGCATTTATGACTTTTAGTAACAGAAATTAAAAGATAAAAACAAGAGTCAACAGTTGGACGAGAGTCAGAATTCATCAAGAACTCTTCCCAGTTAGAGTTTTCTCGTAAATATGGGAAAAGAGGGGTATAAGGCGAGATAAATCCCTTTCAAAAACTGGGACTAAAAAAAAACAGGATCTATATATATATATATAATTACTAAAAACAAAAACTAAGAATAAATAAACTTTACGAATTCGAATAACCCAGTGCAGTATTTATAATAATCATTGTGAAGAGGCATCATTTCAACTACAGGCAGAACTGGTGAGGATGACAAGTCGAAGATCGGGAAATCAAGGCAAGCTACTCTTCATTACTCTCAAGTCCATGTGGAGGTCAACAGCACTACTCAGAATGAAAAATAAGATCCGAATTTTCAGCTCGATTTGTTAACTTACATAAAATATGTAGACAAAGGTGGATGACTGTTATTTGGAAATGTGAGGTACTGTGAGTTTGTAGTATTACCAAAAGTAATAGCTGCATCAAGAGTTTAGGATATGCAATGAAATGGATACCACATTCCCCGTGTTCTCACAACTACTATACATAGATATAATTACTAAACACAAAAACCAAGAATAAGTAAAATTTACCAATTCGAATAACCCAGTGCAGTATTTATGATAACCATTTTAAAGGTGAAATAACGATTGAAAACAACTTTAGATTGATCCTCAGAATACCCATAAAGTATTGATGGTTAGAGCTCAAGCCAGGTAGCTAACTCAACTCCAAATGACAAAGTACAGTATGGCACTGATTTAAGTTCTGATATAGATCCATGTCTCTTTACTATGCTTTCCAGAATCCAGTGTCCTTTTGGCAAGCTTATATAGACCTAAGTATTTCTTGATACTCCATACTTTTATTCTGGGACGGCTCTATCTTTGACGAATTTTTCCTCGACTTCTGCAGCTATGTTGAACGCAATAAAATGAAGGTACATAAGTTCAATTTGCAACTGACAGGGAAGTGGCGCTTCTGGTAGTAATAAATTTCGTCTGATTAGGCAGTTCTTCAGAAAGGCTGGCACACATGTGCGGAAGAAAGTCTTACTAAGCTAATGGGTACAGAATCAAGAAAATGGGAAGATAAAATAAATGGAAAGTAGGGCAAGTAGGCTGAATGGGTAGTTGACTCCTTACGCGAGAGATTCCATATTGCCAATCTTTGATGAGTGACTATTTTAAGGCTGCTTGGGAGGATATCACAGTGCTCTTCGTTCGAGTGCTTTGAGCTATATACGATTTTGAATCCTATGGTAAAGGCACCTACGGCTGAGGCACACAGCCGGAGAATTCTTCAGTGAGTGTGAGTACAGTTGGGTGGCGTGCATGCAGCAAAAGAGGGAGAAACTTAATTATTTTGGAGTTCACACAGAGAACGTAGGAGAAAGTGAGTGAAAACTTGTGTTAGGTACCTATCACTACGACTCCACTATATTTTCATACGTATGAAGCGTACGCTTCATACGTACGGTTTGAGCGTTTAGCTCACGTGAGCTAAACGCTCAAACCGTTAAAAAATTCTCCAAAAACCACACATTCTACCCAATTTTGCATGTATATTCAAACTAGTAAAAGCATGGAGTTAACTTATCAGTGCACTCGAGTATACCACAGTTAAACCAGGAGTTGAACAAACTAGCTGGAGAAAATTTTTTATCAATACATCAGAAAAATCAGAAAAAATACATCTAAAGTTGAAAACGTTTTCAGAATTCAGAAAAGAATAATCCAGTCAGATTAATATATAATCTTACAACATAAAAGAACAGCTTCAACAGAAACCACATGAGAATCCTCTGGAGATTTACATCATCACATAATGTAAAACAAAAACCCGAATCAACTCATAGACAATGAAAGCAAAATAATGTAGAGAATATGAGATGTAAGTACGATAAATATTCATTACCTCAGTATGACGCTAAAGTCGAAATTGCCATGTGAGGAAGTTACTAGAGTAGTGATGCAGTAAAACAAATTTCCGGTAGGTTTTCTAGTTCAATAATTCAGCTGTTGTCACTACCGCATTACATTCTGTCAATATTTACCTGATAGACCTAGTCATTACAGTTTTGGTGGACAAATTTCCTCAATGTATAACTAAAATAATCAAACGGGTGCTATGCCAATCTTCCTACCGGCACTGAAACGTATATATATGTTTTCAAGTATTGGCTATCCCTGATTTCGCACTAATTTTTGGTGGCGTTGTCCATTAGGGATTTTCCTGCATTGAGACAGTTTTGTTACAACCAGTGTAGTAGTGGGCCACATGAGAATAATAGCGAGCGAAAAATATAATAAATAGGTAGATACTTCCCAGATAAGTGTAGGAGGCAACCTCAGTTATATCGCTCCCGTTGATGGTGATTGGTGCCGGTTGTTGTTGCTATTGGCTGGTTGGCGAAACCCAGATCTTCTTATCGGTCGTCCAGCGTATTCCCATCTCCTCGCTCCCAACAGTCTGACGCATAATCCAGTCCACCACAATTAAGAATATCATCGGTGATAATAGGCAGGTAGCCTTGTCTTACTCTCCTGTATTCACTTCGAACGCATCGCTGGGTTTTCTGTTGTGGATCACTTGACTGACACGTGGCAGGCGTTGTCATATAGCCAGCCAGCTGTTGAATGAGGTTGACAAATAAGTGAGGCGCCCTGTAGTGTTGAAGTAGTTTGCAAATTACTTCTCGGTCAACGCTGTCTGTCGTAGGCCATTTCGAAGTTCATGAATTTGAGGTAAACAAAGGTTTGACTTCCATTCTATGCTTTGTTCGGTAACAATGAACGGAGTTAAAATTTCATCAGCACATGATTTGCTTTTCCTGAATTCAGCCGGTCCTAGTTGGCTTAGTTCTGTATTCAGTGCATCCTTTATTCTCTCTAGGAGAATGCGACTTATTATTTTACTTGGCGTGGATAAGAGCATTATTCCACGGCAGTAATTGCGCAGGCTTAAGTCGCCATTCTTTGGTATTTTGAAGAGGTAGCACTTCCTCAAATCAGTAAGCACCATTCCTTCTGTCCAAACTTGTTTCAGTAATGGAGTCTGACCATCCCAGCTTGGCATTCATATCGCCCATGAGGATTTTAATGTCCTTATTAGGGATGTTGAGCATTACTTGTAGTTGACTATGAGAAATACCCCTTCTTTTTCCCTTCCGCGATATTTGTAGCACTGTATGTAGCACTGGATATTTGTTACCTTCCTTCCTTTGGAGTTGAATCTTGCTGTCGTGATCTTGAATGAAATTGGGTCCAACCGCATCACGGCTGTGGCTGCGACTGCTGACATCATTATAAACACTCACTGCCTCAGTGTGTTCGTGGTTATCGTCTGGGTGACAGGAGTAGAGTGCTGACTTTTGCAGATATGCAACACTTCTATTTCACATCTCATTTCGTTAATTACCCAGGCAGGCTTCCCAGTCTCTCACATTGTACGGGCATTCTACCTCCCAATTCTTATTCTTACTTTCATCGGGAGAAGACAAATCGACCGGCCTACTGGCTCCCCGAAGGCTTTCGCCAGCCCGCGTCATTTCGCCTCTCCAACTCGAACGACGAATAAGATTGCTATTCGGAGTTTTTGTATTTTTAAGAAATATTTTCTGTGTGTTGAAGTTTCTGTGGCGTCTTGGAAAATTTTGTGGTGTGGGGATGCTAGCCCCACGCCCAACCTTCCCTCTTTGCGCTGACTTGGGACTTAGAAAACTAGTGAGTTAATTAATTGAGAGAAGTTATTTGTGGTTATAATTATCCCCTTTTCTTAGTGGTGGAAAGTAGGGATTCGGTTGATAAAATGCACTGACTGATTTGATATTAGCGTTGAATATTCGAAGCTTCTTGATTAACCACCTTTCGACGTCTGAAAGTCAAATTTATTTCAGAGGGATACCTTGGGAGATGGGTCCTGATCACATCTTGGAGGAAAACACCTACAGGTGGCAAATGACTGATTCATTAAAAAGAAAACAAAAAGACTTTCAACTATCAAAAGAGGGCCTGATGAGAATGCGCGACTGAGTGCTGCTCCGACGAGAGCCACAAACCTAAAATTTCCTAATGCAGCGGCTTCCATTTCATTAATGTTTAATACACCCAGCAAGGCTGTAGAAACAGCTGGTTACCAATACCTAGTAACTGACGACATGACTTTACATGCTCTTTAATCTTGCAAAGAAGAGGTATTCCACTTGTGTCACAGAGTTGCTAGCATTCTACCCAACTGATAAACAATTCCGCTACATAGCATAAAGAAGGCCATTCACAATCTACACAGGTCATTAGCTGTCCGCTTGCGCACTGAACATGAGAACAGAAGAAGGTCACTGAATAAAATTCGTCATCCTAATTTTATATCAAAGTTTGCAAGTGGTACAAGACCTGCGGAGGGGACAGAGAACTGTGTGGTTAACACACTCTCCAGAAAACAAGTTAATAAGGTGCTATAAAAAACTGCGACCTTGAAAGCACTGGCCGAAAAACAAGAGAAAGAAGGACAACTGAAGCATATTTTCACTGAAAACAACACCAACCTCAAACTCATCCTGTAGATGGCATCTGATATACTGTCTCACAGCGAAAGATTCACTCAAGCATTCCATCCTAAGTTTATGAGGAAAGCAGTATTTGGCAGTTTTCACTCGTTATCACATCCTGGAGCAAACGCTTCAGTTACAGTACTCTCGGCAAGATATATTTGGCCAAAGTTATAACGCCACATGCAGAAGTGAGTGGGAGTGTATATCACGGTAGAGGGCGAAAGTAAGCAGACATCCAATGTCAATCCTAGGAACATTTTTCACATCCAGATGCTAGTCTCACTAGTGTTCATGTGGACTTGGTAAATCTCTTTTTATAACTTAATGGGCTGACTTGCCTGTTCACATGATTTCATAGGTCCGCCGGGTTCCCTCCAGCCGCAACACTTACTGGCATTGCACTCGGGATGAACAACTCCCCTTCAATACTAAATAGCTGTATTCAGTGTGCCTACAACGACAACAACAACCACTGACAGAGGAGATCTATTCGAACCAACTCATCGACGTTTCTGTAATCACAAAGATCCACTGAATACCATACCATCATCAAGCAGATAAAGAATAGAACACTTCCCTCAATAACCGAAGGCGGTATTAACATCTCACTCTAACTCCACTGATGGGATAGGGTTCCTACCGACAATAATGATCGATATGCGAATATCAAACAAAATTAGTGCTCAATGTTCATAGGTGGAAAAGGTATTCGAGACCACCTTGAAAACTACCTATCGAGATTTTCAGTCTTAGTTTTGGCATGAGGGGGCTTGACTAAGTTACATAAGCAGTTGATGAGCACATACCGAAGAAGTGGTGTTTTATTTTTACCATCATGTAAATGTGATAAGTGCCAGAAGTTTGAAAGACACTACTATAATATTGCACTTCCCAGTATCATTTCGCTTCCCATTTATTGGAAAATACAAATGATTATTATCATTTACTCAATGCTTAGAGTTTTAAAAACCACTGAATTAGGACCAGACTTAAATACCATCGACGTACTGTTTCTAACTACAGAGAACAACCTTAGTTCAACTTCTTGTCAAGATGGTACCCCATGGGCTCTACAGAAATTTGTGAGACATCTTACATCTCGTCCTACTAATCTACATCTCGTTCTAATCTTCCAGATCTTTGAATTCATTTCTCGCTGAAATATCAGTTATCTACCTCAAGATAATCCTTTAATTCACGCACCATTATACTCTATTTTATATCGAGTACCTAGGCCTTTATAAAAGTTAAAGCTTACTTTTTGTTCGTATTTCTTGCTTGCTTAAATCCTGGTTGCTTTGTTTGAAAACACAACAACACCAATGTTTGAGCAAAGCTATATTTTCATCGAAAACGTCATAGTTTCTATGCTAAGACCAATATGTTTAGCATTAAACATTGCAAATGTATACTAACTTTCCAAAGAGTCTTCACCTCCTTCTTGTACATATCTTATAAATGTGCTGCCAATGATGTATTATCCATAATTTTATTTCATGACATTTTGCAGTCTCCGAGGACGTTCTCCTCTTCCTGAAATAGCTTTTATTCAAGTGGCGCCATAGCACCTATTCAGATATCTGTTCACTGATTTACCATAACTATCAGCAGGAAACGGAACGAAGTTTGGGTTGTCGCTCAACTTTGATGGTGACCTTAGTGAAGGGTTTACAATTTCACATTTGTACGAATCAGTTCTGATTGTTTGTACAATAATCGGACAATTCAAACTCGTGAAAAAGTATTAATTTATGATACTTCACGAGTGTAATTTATAACGTAACTGATTGTGCCTGGAGAAATGACATGCATTTCTTGTTAATTTACCCGTTTATACGAAAGGTAAATTATTATTATTACGATAACATAGTTTAATTTGGTGAAATAATAACTTAACGTCGAAATGTGATAGAAAATTATGTGTCTAGGATGCGGCCGAGATACACGCGTTAAGTGTTAAGACAAAATTCTTACTGTAATACCTCATTGTCTAGGAACAGGGTAGAAAAACATTGTGAATATTTCCCACACCCTATTATGCATGGTTGCTGACGATTAACTACCGAGTATTTATATGAGACTAGAATAATAGGAACTTCTGAAGGTTCTAGAGTAGAGTGATCAGATCAACAAAACTGCGTGGCAACAGTTACCCATATGCTGATGATCATACAAGGATGACAGTGTCTGTCTGTTTTCAACATAGAACTTTGCACAGATATGCACCAGTTCGAGTCGCTACACTTCATTCAGCACACAAAGCCAGGGAAGAAGAAGAAAGTAAAAAGGAAGGCAAAATAAAGACAGTACTTACTTTACTTTACTTCGGCTATCTCCTACGGGAGGATGAGCCGGCTTCATGAACGTCTCGAATCACCGCTGCCCAGGTGCGGCAATTTGTAAGAGAGTTCATGAAGTTTCATGGGAATTCGGTACGAGTGATGTCCCCAGAATCGCTCGGCCTTTTGTTTGAGAGTGCAGCTCTAGCCTTTACACAACCAAGTGTGACCTACAAGGCAGTAGGAGTGGAGTAAGGAGTCCACTATCCATTGGCAGCCGATGACCGGAGTTCGATTCATACGCCTTTTTGAATGGGGTCGGACATCCAGGACATCCAACAAGCCCTTTGTCCATACGTCTGCCGGTGAGCTCCAGTGAGCTTCATACGCCAATCGTTGGAGGTTTGGAATCAGGGTTTAGCCATCTCCCCTAGACTGCCATCCAATGGACAGTCAACCCGGTGGAGAGCGCCAGGCATCCGCTTTCGCCCTCTCACTTTGGTGAGAAACACCTCCGCCACGTGAAGGCAGTGAGTAGGACTTCCTCAGGAGAGGCTATGTAAGACGCCCGGTCATATGGGAGCATTTCAAGAGGTGTGCGGAGGGGTGGCCAACCCGCAGCGCAAGGCACCCACCCCCGACCATCCTGAGGCTTTGGAGGCCAGGGAAGAAGAAGAAAGTAAAAAGGAAGGCAAAATAAAGACAGTAGACAGGGATAGGAGAGAAAAGGAATAGTAATAACGAAAAACCATATAGTTTTATTGGGTACTATAAGTCACAAGGAGTGGATGCATCTAACTGAGCTAGCCATTGAGAACAAGGATTTTGAGCCATATCACCAATTGTCTCCAGCATACATTGGTTTTTACCGTCCCGAGGACCCCCAAACCAGGAAGCAAGTCTACACCTCCCTAATTGTTGCGGATTTCATTGACTGTTTTGGTCTGAACGTCGTTAGCTCCTTCCCAGCCTAGTCATGGGTACGTAACACATATCCTAACAATCTCAGTCGATGTAGCTTCGCAGCCTTGTCTAGTCATTTCCCCTCCTTACCTAGCACTCGACTGAAGCCCAACCCCATTATTGCTTACCCCACTATACCACTTCACCGGAGGCATAGAACGCAGGCACCTATGATCAAAGACAACTAGCCAGCCTTTTCATGTCTTCCACTTTCAATAGTCACGTCTTACAGCTATAAAGGAGGACAGAGAGAACTGCTGTTGAGCATTACACACGTCCATCATTGTGGTCAACAACTAGCCGGGTATCATGTCTACTAAGCCAGAGACGGCGTAAACTAGCATAGGATGACTGACAGTATGCATACCTAAAAACCTAATTGTTGAAGTTACGACAAAGGAAACATCTTTGGGAATCCTGTTCAAACCTAAAACAGTCAGACAGAAGTCTTCAACAGTTAATGACTTCTCCGAAGAGAGACTGATTAGTGACGGAAGTAATACGCATCTCCCTCCCATAAACTTTAGAACTATAAACCCTACGCGCACAAGGCTTAGTACCGGAACTTTTGAAAACAAGTAAAAACGATGAAAATAACCACAGATAATTATGCAAAGTTTTATTTACAAGGTCGATAGTTAGATAATAAAGAGTATAATGAGTCACAGTTTCAGCTGTCAAATTGTCAATTTTAATCACAAAATATCCTATCAAACTATAGCAAAAAAAGTTAGTAATGCATATATTTTTTAGAAGGAATGTTTCTAAAAAACAATAAAGGTATCCACTGTACAATGGGAAAATAGGAAGAGGAATATTCTCAACAGGATGTTGAATTTTTATTTTAACAATCCATAATGATTGGTTCACCAAGTTTAACACGTTGACCAGGTGTAACACACCATTTCAATTGATTTTTAGGCGCTTCAAATATCAGGACAACTGTAGAACCTAAACAGAAATGACCTAATTCATCGCCCTTGTTCAATTTCACACTATAATTATTATTATCATTATTGTTATCATTATTATTTGTAAATATTGCCTCTAAATATGGTGGATTATATTCTTGGTTTATTGTTCTCACAAGATTTGTAAAACGATAACGCAGTGGATTATGCTGCTTTTTATTTGTACTCAGTGTAGGATCAATATTGACACGAATATTTCCAACGCCAAATGCCCCGACAGCTGTGAATGACATTAACCCGTGATTCCATTCACCGAGGTAAACTACACGTTCATTGATTGCATATAAACCGGGCAAGCGGCCAGCAAGATTAGGACGAACTGATAGCAGTCTACCTGTAAGTAAATAAAGCGAAACAGTAATGATAATAGTAATAATAATAATAATCACATGATTGGATAGTAGGGTGCAGCAGGTTGGGTGTGAGGACAAATACTCGCTGAAGACATTGGCTGGGGTCCCGCTATGTCGTGAACTGGCAGAAGTTAAAATTCATGGGCCATTGGATCGGGTCCCAGTGGCTTAATGGTATACGAGCTCACTAGTCTTGTAACCAAAAGGTCCTGGGTTGGAACCCTGTCGGTGGGTGCGTAATGCTGAAGAGTCCCAAACTAGGACGAAACAGCTGTCCAGTTCTCCCTGGTAGGTATTCCAATGGTTCTCTAACTAATGTCAGCTCATGATGAAAATCCTGTAACCAATCAAATCCCTACAAACCAACACTTGAACATGATTGGACAATTAGAGAACACAATTCAATGCCGAAATTGACGATGAAATGGCTTTAGTTAGAGAACCATCATTAATAATAATAATAATCTACTTTATTCCAAAACAGACAGTACTTATAATACAGAATGGAATTCTCAGCATTTGTCACAATATTGCATCTGATTTACTTAAAATATAAATTAAATTAACCAGCGGAATTTGTCCACATTTACGGCAGGAATAAAGTCAAAAATATTCGAAGTACGAATTGAGATCATTCAATATAATAATAATAACAGTGAGTTTGTTTCAAACAGTATTGTCGATTCAATTCGGAAATTTTAGCATGTTATAGATTATTGAATCCAATGTTCTGTTGATATAGTATGGTGAGGGGAAATACAAAATTAACAGTTATAACACAACTTAAATTATTTTCACATTTATGAAAAAATAAACAAATAAAAACAAAAAATTGAGAGAATTATAAATATAAGAAGAACAATAAGAATAAAGCTTGATGGTGTAAGGATGGAGGAAATGGTTTATTTAATAGTGCAAAGAAGGTTAGTTAGTTGGTTTGTGCCTGACACTATTTCCATCACATAAAGTACGTGCCGCCAAATATGGTATAGTGGAATTTTTATACTAAGACGTGCGTGCATAAAGTCTTCTGAAAAGACTTCTTGTTTTACCTGAGGAGACACAGGATTGCAGCTGAGGGTAAAATGGATGCTCACAGTCTAACAAAATTCCTTTAGGAAATTTGTTGCATGACACGAAATGCCTATCACTGACAATGTCAACGATATGGCCCGATGGGATACAACTCGTCTTACCGACAGTCTTCAGAGTTCTACGAAGTATGACATAGTCTTTTGCAAGCAACCCAGAAAAGAATAAGGCTGGGAAGTAGAAAAGAATAGGTAAGATGCACGAGTTGACAGACTGTGAGAGGAGGGATTGGTTAGGTTATGCCTGAGTGCCTTAACTTTTAAATGTAAAATGGCAGATGAAATATTCTTTTAGAAATTGCTAAGACATGGGAAGACCATGTTAATATATGTGTAAAACTTGGGCACTGTGGTATTAAGTAATTCCATATTAGTTTGATTATTAAATGTATCACACAGTGAAACAGTATTGTATACTGGATTACAATACAATACAATACTGTTTCACTGTGTGATACATTTAATAATCAAACTAATATGAAATGGGAAGACCATGATAAGTCGGAAGAAAGAATTAATCCAAGATACTTAACTTCAGACTTGATTTCTATATCAAGATCATCAATTTTTCAAGGGTCACCATTGAAAACAAGCAAGTACTGAGCAGCTGTTTCGTCCCTATCCGGGATTATTTGATAGTCAGATGTCGTGACCAGCGGAGGTCCACCACCCAACCAAGTTGGGTGTAAGGACGAATATACAAGCCAGGGACATTTACTGGTGGTCGAACTATATCGCAAATAGGTGGAGGTTAGAATTCGTGCTCTGACCGCTGGTTCCTGTTGAAATGACTGGATGGTCCTACGAGCTGAACCTGTAACCTTATGGTCCTAGGTGTGTACTTCTGAAGAGTCCCTAACAGGCACTAAGCACTTCCCGTCCAGGAACCCCCTGGCTTTCACATGATTCTGTCTGTCTGTTTTCGACATAGAACTTTGCACAAATGTGCGGAAGTTCAAGTCGCCACATTCCGTGTAGCACGCGAAGCAAGAGAAGAAAGTACAAGAAAAGCATAATAGAAACAGTTAGCAGAGGTGTGAGACAAAGGAGGAGTAATAACGAAGAACAAAACAGTTTCATTGAAGATCATAAGTCACAGGGAGTGGATGCATCTGCGCTAGCCACTGAGAACGATTTTGAGCCATGTCACCAATTGTTTCCAACCATAGATTTTTACCGTCCCGAGGACCCCAGCCTGGAAGTCTACACCTTCCTACGTGGCTTAGACCAACTGTTGTGGATTTCATTAACTGGTGCCAAGTTTTTGTTTGACCGCCGCTAGCTTTTTTCCAGCCTGACCCTATATCCGCTAACATAGCTCGTCGAGGGAGGCGATGGCTTGGCATACGTAACACATATCTTAACCATCTCAGTCTTTGTAGCCTCACGACTTCGTCGATTGATTTCTCCTGTTTACCCACAACTCTACGCCTAACCTCAATGTTGCTCACCTTATTATGCCACTTTACACGGGAAATAGAGCGCAGGCACCTATCATCAAAGACAGCTAGTCTTTTCATGTCTTCCACACTCAGTGGCCAGGTCTCACAACCATAAAGGAGGACGGAACGGACTGATGAGCAGTACACCCGCCCTTTGGTCGATAGTCGAACATCTCGTCTACGCCAGAGTCGGCGTAAACTGGAAAATGCGAAACGAGCCCCTTGTATTCGTGCTGAGATTTCGTCAGAGATCAACACGTTGGGGCTGATGCAGCTTCCCAAATAAGTGAAGCGGTCAACGTGCTCTACCACTTCACTTCCTATTTTTAAACTAGGCGTCGATGTAGTCCAGTCCTGTAACATCATCTTGCATTTGGCGGGAGCGAATCGCATGCCAAACATTCGTAGATTGCGGCTCAAGGTGTTTAGAAGACTCTGCATTTCGTCAGCGTCTTCGCCTAGAAGGACTATATCGTCTGCATATTCCACGTCAACGAGATTATTCCCCGGTAGCAAGTCAATCCCTGAGTCGCTGAAGTCACTTAAGGTTAAGTCCATTAACACATCTTTGATGAAGTTGAATAGAAAAGGGGATAATGGGCATCCTTGACGGACACCACTGGTCGTCATCAGTTCAGATGACAGCTCGGCGTAAGCCCTCACCTGGCTGTATGCGTACGAGTAGAGTGCCTTAATCAGTGCAATATATTTTCTTGGAATTCCCTTTACAGCCAAGCATCTCCAGAGAACTTCCCGATCGACAGAGTCGAATGCTGCCTTTAGGTCAAGAAATATAATGACTGTTGGACGCCGGTAGGAATTCCTATGTTCTAGAATCTGTCGGAGGGTGAAGATATGATCAATACACCCTCTTCCTGGTCTAAAGCCTGCCTGGCTCTCTCGTGTTTGTGCTTCCCGAGCACCACTCAGTCTACGCATGATTATTGAGCCTAAGACTTTAGATACTATATTAGTCACATGGTTCGCTCTAACTGAAGCCATTTCGCGACCAACCTTGAAATCAATCACACTCCTGCAAGACAATACCTGGCATTTTTATGCGTCGGCAGTTCAGCGGTAGAATATTTTTCAACCACACCGACGCACTCTTAAACCATGAGTAGTTTTCTAGACAGTAACAGGTCAAGAAAAGAGGGTGGGGTTGAGCATGAGACTAGCCGCTCTATCTCGTAAAAATAACACTAACAAAGCTCAAGTTTGACGCTTTATGATCTGGTATACACTGGGGGCACAAAAGAAATGAAGCAGAGGAGGAGGATCTGATGGATAATCCTTTGGGTGCCTGAAATGAAATGTGTGTAGCGTTAGTGTCTCTGTCAACGGGAACACACCATCACTCATTGGGAATCCGATCACCTAACATCCGGATGACGAGGTTCCGACAGGACGAAACGTGAATAGTAAATCCCAAAAATTAAATTTTTGCAATAAAATATTAATCACAGACATTTGAGATCATTGTGATTAATCGAATACGTGAATTCGTGAATAATAATGGTGACTATATTAATAATAATAACAACAGTAATAATAATAATAATGAGTCGTGTAATGTATTTGCGTAACACATTTCGAACACACGGACTTGTCATAGGAATGAGAATATATGAAATGAATAAAGAGTTAAGACGTGAGAAAATAGACCTAGGTCTAGTTGAAACGACATATCGAAGGTCAAAATAACAATGAACATCACTAAACCAAATAGCAGAGGTAATAGTACATCTACATTGGCGGGTATCGAAACAAAGTTTACCAAGGAACGTGGTTTAGTGTGATGACGAATTGTTGCTTTGAACGTATAAAGGTGGTTGAAACTTTCTAATTGCCAGATAGGGCTTCCACAAACTTTAGGATACGTCCCAAACACGTTTTATAGGTAGGTTTAAAAGATCTGTTAACGTCAATTTTATATCCTGTTTCTATAATATGTTTCGCAATAGAAGAGCCAGGTCTCCTGTTCTAACCAGTAATCGGTTCTGGGGATTCTATTTGCTTCTGGAGCCATTTGGGAATATGCTCTGAAGCCAGCCCTTACATGCAGAGATCGATGAGTCCTCCCTCCTATGTACATTCAAATTGGTAAATACAGTGGAATGTGATATCACTTTTCGTATGTTCGAAGCGCTTAGATAGATATATTGGCTTCACATTCTCAATTATTATGATATTAGCTGCATAAAAAGTCTTTTTAACAGCAATGTTCACTCTTTGTCTAGTTATCAAGCTGCTATGATGCCCATATATATATATATATATATAGGGTAGCTTGATGTACACGTCTTTCTTAGGAGGCGATTTGGAGAGTGGGTCTTGGTGTTCAACTGACTAATTTATATCGCCCAATGAACTTGTCTGAATGATTGTTATCAATCAGAGTTTGTGTCAATTTTCTTTCTTCTTCATCAAGTGTGTCTGTCTTCAGTGCATATTCGTAGGATTCTACTGAAGAGGCAATTAGCTGACTAAGGCTCTTTTGTACCGACCAGGGAAGAAAATGTGGTAATTAAGATACTGTCCTGTCCAGGTAGGTTTTCCATATAAATAGATCTTTTTATTGACCTCTTTAAGCCATCGACTAAGCAATATGTCTAGGAAAGATAATCAATTATCTTCCTTTTCTACATTTTACACGATTCAGACATATTACGTCTTCTTATTGCTTTATCTAAATTCATAAACAGAACTAATCGTTTTAAATAATAATAATAATCATTATTATTATTATAAAACGTATAAATTCATGTAAGTGTTTATATAATCTACATAATCAATCGATGTGAATGTGTATATATTTGCAGGGGTAGACAGAGAAAGCGACTATTATCATCACATAGCAAGTCAAGTTCAACATTCAGAAACTGAAGGACAAAACTACAAAGGATGCCTTCGCTATAGATCAGAGCAGAGCAAAGCAAAGTCCGATACACTAAGTGGCATTATTGAGGAAACCTGTGCGAATGGAAGAACATTGGAATTCTCTGAAGGAGATATTTAAGAAAAAGCGTGTACAACTGTTCTAGGAAGAAGGAAGAGACAAGACAAGGAATGGCTGTCAACGGACACCTACCTGGAAGCTAATAGAGGAGAGGAGAGGAGGATGATGAAAGAGAAGATGACTCAATGCAAAGATGCAAAAGAGAAAACAGAAGGAGAAGCTGAGTTCAATGTACACTGCACTGAATAAAGAGGCGAAGAAGAGTGCTAGAAAAGACAAACGGCAATTCTACGAGACATTGGCCAATGGATGAAGCAGAACAGTCAGGCAGGTAGCAGGCAAAAGAGATATCAAGACATCGCTATCCGGGAAGAGATCAATAAAGATGATGAAGCCAATAAAAGATGCTCAAGGGAACTGAACGTAATGACTTAGGAATCGACTTGTTACCAAGGAATAATCTTATGGACTTAGAATATGCAGATGACATAGTCCTGTTAGGGGAGGATGCTGAAAAAATGCAGAGTCTTCTGAACACCTTGAGCAGCAATCTTCGTATGTTTGGCATGCGATTCGCCCCTGCAAAATGTAAGATGCTGCTACAGGACTGGACCACGTCTACCCCTAACTTAGTGATAGGGAGGGAAGTGATAGAACATGTTGACCACTTCACCTACTTGGGAAGTTGTATTAGCACCAACGGATTGATTGGCGATGAAATCTCAGCACGGATCCGAAAAGCTCGAGCTGCTTTCGCTGACATACACCATCTCTGGCGTAGGCGTGACATCCGGTTATCAACCAAGGGACGTGTGTACTGCTCATCAGTTCGCTCCGTCCTTCTCTATGGCTCTGAAACATGGCCAATACGCGTTGAAGACATGAAAAGGTTGACTGCTTTCGATCATAGATGTCTGCGATCTCTGTCTCACGTTAGGTGGTTTCACAAGGTAAGTAATGTTGATGTTAGGCGTAGAGTGTTGGGCAAAGAAGGAAAATCAATCGACGAGGCTATAAAGTTACATAGACTAAGATGGCTAGGTCACGTGGTGCGCATGCCTAACCACCGCCTCCCCCGACGGGCTTTGCTAGCTGATATAGGTTCAGGTTGGAAAAGAGCCAGTGGTGGCCAAACAAAAACATGGCCTCATCAATCCATGAAATCCTTGACAGTTAAACTGAGTCAGGTAGGGAGATGCAGACTCCCGGGTTGGGGCCCTCGGGACTCTAGGAATCAATGGCTGGAGACAATAGGTGACATGGCTCAAAATCGTTGTCAATGGCGCAGATGTATACAGTCTCTGTAATCTTTCATATTCCTTTCTACCATTACCCATTCTGTTTCACTCTTATACTTGTCAAACTCTATTGATTTTCTTCACTCATCTTCTTGTCTACCTCTGTGTGCTATTTGGAACGTGGCAACTCGAACTGCTGCACTTCGATGCCAAGTTCTATGTTGAATCCAGACAGACAGACAGCTCAAGGGAACATGATCACCAAGGAGGAGAAAAAAAAATCAAACACTGGATTGATCACTTTAAAGGACTCTTGAATCAACCACCACCAGCAACTCGCCCAGAAATACACTCCCACCAGCAGCAACTTCATCGACTTCGAAAACGCCTGCGAAAGACAGCGTTAACCGAGAAGTAATTTGGAAACTATTTCGACAATATGGCGTACCTCAAGTCTGTGTCAACCTCATTCAACAGTTGGTTGGCTATATGACAATACATGTCATGTGTCAGTCAGATGATCCACAAGGGAAAACTAAGTAAGGCGTTCGACGTGAATACAGAAGTAAGGCAAGGCTACCTGCCTATTATCACCGATGATATTCTTAATTATGGTGGACTGGATTATGCAGAAGATTGTGGGGAAGCGACGAGTCAGGAATACGCTGGACGACCGATGAGAAGACTCTAGAAGATCTGGATTTTGCAGGTGATATATGTCTAATGTTACACAAACTCAAAGACTTGCAGGCAGGCAGGCAGGCGAAAACCAACAAACTGGCTGAAGCGGCTGGCAGTGACAAAAGGACTCCAGGTGAACATAGGGAAGATGGAGGTGATGAAGATAACCAACCAACCAACCAACCAACCAGCAGCAACAATAACCAGCACCAATCACAATCAACGGGAGAAACTTATCAGAGGTTGCCTCCTTCACTTATCTAAGGAAGCATCGTTTCAACTACAGGCACACTGAATGGACGAAGATATCGACATCTCAGCTAACCAGGCAGAATCGGAAAGGCAAGATACGCACGCCTTCGTCAACCTGAAACCAGTCCAGTTTGGAAATCTTCCGCACTAACTCCGCGCATAAGGAACAAGATTCATATTTTCAACACCAATGTGAAGTCGGTCGATTCTTCTATACGGGTCAGAAACCTGCACTGCGTGTCAGCCAGCTGCAGACTTTCATCAACAGCTGCCCACTTCGCTGACTTCACTATGAAGATCAATCAAATGGCTAGCCGACAAGAAAGAATTACCAACAAGAAATTCTGGCTGAGGACAAACCAACAGGTGAGAGCCGATTACTCAACATATATGTAAGGAGAAAGTGGAGATGTATCGGACATATTTTGAGGAGATCATCGAACGACATCAGGCACCAGAGCATAACTCGATTGGAATCCGAATAAGAAGTGACGAGTGGGTCGTCAATGAGAGTGACATAGAGGAGAACTTGTGGTGAGGAGGAGATGAGGGAGTTTGGTCAATCGCAAACCCAGCTGAAGAGGATGGCAGAAAATAGAACAAAGTGGAGATATGTTGTTGAAGGCCTATGTTCCACTCGGAACCCAAGAGAACAATAATAATAATTGAGTGACACACTGCGCGCTTAAGTAGTCCTCTCCTCAAAGAGCACCCGAATTGAAGCCAGGCAGTATGGCGTTCGAAGGTGACAACATGAAGGAAGCCATTTGTGAGGAGGAGGAGGAGGAGGAAGAATTGAAAGCATATGACAAATCGTTGGACCAATAGAGAACATAGTAAAGTGTATATATGATGCTGAAGTCCTATGTTCCACTTGGAAGGCAACAGTTAAATGTTATTTTCATTTAGTGACAGAATGCAAGTCGGGTGTGAGGACAAATACTCACCACGGATGACATTGGCTAGCGGTCACGCTACGTCGTGAATAAGCAGAAGTAAGAACTCATTGGCCATTGGATCGGGTCACAGTGGCTGAATGGTCTACCAGCTCGCCTTGTAACCAGAAGGTCCTGGGTTCGAAGCCCCTGTGGTGGATGCGTACTGCTGAACAGTCCCAAACTAGGCTGACGAAACAGCTGTCTGGCAGTACTCCCCAGGTTATTTTCCAATGGTTCTCTAACCAATGTCAGCTCATGATGAAATCGTGTAACCAGTAAAAAGAAAAAACAAAGTATAATGACTTACCTGGAAAATGTCGTCTAACTGTAGGCATCCAATCCACAGGACTATGAAAACGATGATAATCACCAGGAGCTAGATAAATAACACATTGGTAAAGTGTACTATCCGTCTTTTGTGGGTTAGAATTATTATTTAACTGGACAATCGGGCCAAGAAATTCATCAAGTGAATAATGTACACCTTTGATTTGTTCCAACACTGGTCTACGGGGATCAATTACACCACAGTGGAGTATTTTACCGTCGACAGGACTAACCTAGTGAAGAAGAAGATTTAGACAAACAGTTGTTGAAGACTTATTATATTAAGTATTGATAGGTGAGTTTTTATGAGAACCTTTAAATTCAAGAAGATAAAAATACTAAGTGTTTCATGTATGGTCGCGGATTGATGTCAGTTGGAGAACCATTGAAAACCACCATGGAGTGCTGGACAGCTGTTTCATCCTAGCTTGGGACTCTTCAACAGTAGGCATCCACGACTACACCGCTAAGGATCGCATCTAGAACTTTCAGGTTGCGAGGTCAAGTTGGATGGCCCGTGAATTCTAACTTCTGTCATAGGCCGTTAAATGACGACCGAAGTGGCTGGAATGCTCAACCAGCTTGGCTTCGTGACCAAAAAGTTCAAGGTTCGATCCGTGATTGATTGACTGGTTTCAATTTTGGACCGATGTGCACCAGTTGAAGTCGCCACACTCCCTCCTTGTAGCACACAAAACAAGAGAAGGTAAATAAATAGAGATAGTAGATAGGGATATGAGGCAAAAAGAATAGTAATATCGAAGAAAAATATACTTTTATTCAGTATTATAAATCACAAGGAGTGGATGCACTTCGCCAGTCATTCAGAACGATTTTGAGTCACATCACCAATTGTCTCCAGCCTTCATTGGTTTTCACCGTCCCGAGGACCCCAACCAGTCATTCAGGAAGTCCACACCTTCCTACTTGACTGGCTGAAACTAACTGTTGTGGATTTCATTGACTGATGAAACCATGTTTTGATTTGACCGCCACCACTGGCTAGCTCTTTTCCAACCTGACCCTATGTAAGCTGACATTGTCCGTCGGTCAAAGAAGGTGATGGTTAGCCACGCATGCGTAACACATGTCCTAACCATCTCTCAATCGGTGTGACTTCACAGCCTCGTCGATTGATTTCTCTTCCCACCTATCTAGCACTCGACGCCTAATCTTAATATTGCTCATCCTGATAAAGACCCTGACAAGCATCTATCGACCAATCAGATGTGTCCGAAGCAGAACTGCGTTATTTACACAAAAGTTTATAATAAAAGTAATGCAATTTTAGAAAACAGTTACATAGGATAGCGTTCTTGTATATGTTTCAAGAAAACCTCCCAACCTCACACAGGAGTCCTCATAGTTAAGGTTAAACTAATTTCCGCACATAAATTAGTCAAAATAACTGTAAATCATCGTGTTTCTTGACCCACCACCGATTCACTGTTCTGATTCTCTTTTTTAAGTGACTTCAGAAACTTCAGATGGAATTTGTATGAGTCTCATCGAAAGCATTAACGAAATTGTTCATATGATTGACCGTTGACTATGCTGTGAATATAGCTGAAGAATGACAACTGGCTACGCGTTTTCTCCTTCCAATGAGCCTGTTATCTAAACAGTAACTAAATACTAGATTCGAATGGAATTTGATGCGTAATTCATGTACAGCACCCATAATTCCGCCTATATTACTACGGACACATTTGACTAGTTGCTCAAAGTCATTAGTCCGTTCATTAGGTGGTTTCGCTTTGAGCAACTATAAGTTTACAGTCACCGTAGTGGCGTGATAGGTGAGTACTACTGAAGAGTTCCAAACCGAGACGAAACAGCTGCCCAGTACTCCCTGGTTTTTAGTGGTCTTCTAGCTGATGTGTTAGTTTATGATTATACTTACAACAGATGAAATTACTACAAAACTCTAACTCCTAAAAATAATGATTATAAGAATAATAATAATGACAATAATGAAATATTAGAGATTTGTAGATAAAGGTGTGGATAATTTTGATGTTGTCGCGTTTTCTCTCAGCTGGATGATTCACAATTAGGAAGCTGTCACATTATCTTCCTGTCTTTAAATATTCCCATTGTTAATAATATTAGAACAAGACATATTAGCGAACAATATTGTTGTTTTCAATTAGATCTTCTTTAGGCTTTACTCTAATGTACATAGATTTATATATAAAACAAAATTTGACCAATGACGGTGATTTTGTGTGGTAAATGTTTTGAACGTCATTAATAACGATGATTATAATGATAACAAAATGGTGATAAGAAGGTTTGTGCAGGTGGCGATAACAATAACAAAGGTAGTATATGTATATATGTAGACAATTCAATAAATAAATAAATTAGGTCAAATCTTAAAAGATGAAATGGAACGATAATCAGTTTAAATAGACAAATATCATAAAAGTACGAAGGAGATGGATGATAAGAAAGGGTGGGAGGGTTTTGAATAGAATTCACTCAGTCCAAGAGAAAGACAAAGGTAGAACAAACTTCCTTTGTTGTATGCAAAAACTAGGATTGTTCTCGCGAATTAATTCCCATAGCTTCGGCTATGTGTAAAAGACGGGTTCGAATTCCGTTCGAAAGGCTCGATGGAATGCAATAGATAACTTTGAAGGTGGCACTATTTCTATCCACTTGGTGACCGCTATCAATCAAATGAGCCAAAATAGAACTCCTTATAGATTTATTTGACCTTTTCCGAACCATGAAGGAAGATGCTCATTAATGTGCGTTTCTTAAGCTGTCTAGTTGTTCGCCCTATGTAGCTAGCTCTCTCCACAGGAGCAATTAAATTTATAGATACACATAGAAGTGGCACAGCTAGGTAGCTTATCTTTCACTTGAGCAATCATAATTGGCCGGCTGGAAAATGACAAACAAAGGGTGGCAGTAGTATAAGTCCGTTTTATCCCTCTCGATAATTTCAGATGTAAGACTTCACTAGCCACGTCCCCATTAAATTGCAGTTCCATGAACAATTGTTTCTTTTTGACTGTTGTCAGTTTCTCTTTATTGTACCTGGTGCGTTCATCTGTCTCCTTACAAATCTGCTAGGATAACCCATTTGGGTCAGTGTATTTTTTGAATGTATCCTAACTCATTTTCTAGGGTGTCATCTGTACAGACACGTCTTGCTCTTTTCGTGAGGGATCTGACCAAATTGGTTTTGTATCGGATTGGTACAAAACTGAGGAAATGTGTATATTGTCCTACAGATTTAGGTTTTCTATAGACACATCTCTCTTGAGTGAACCATCCTCTTTCTGGACAATATCTTCCGAGGAGGAAGCTTTAATATGAAATGGATTTATTTGAATTTTACATGAATGTGATATAATTGTACGCCCGCCCCCCCCCCGCCGTCCCCACGGGACAATCTTTATTGTGATTAAATTTCATTCTAGTATTGTTCATTTTTATTGACTTGAAAATATGACTTATTCTTTATTAGTTGGCAAGTTTGATCTGATGGTAATGTGTATTTGTTGACCGCATATTCACTCATCTGAGTATCAGGCTGTTTGTCTAGGAGGTCAACAAAAGCTTCACAATTGAAGCAATCATTTCACAGAAACGTGATCACACCAATAATAATATTGTTATTATTAATATAAAATTTAACCAAAAAGGAGGGTTTTAAATTCTCAGAAGGAATTCAAACACTTGAGTTATTCTAATTTCAAACAACTGGACTGGCTGGTTGCAACGTAACACTTTACACAGATGTACAGCAGTTCAAGATGCTACTCTGCCTCTATGTAGCACACAAAGCAAGAGAAGAGGGTAAACAGAGGTTCAGAAAAGAGATAATAAACAGAACAGTGGTAATATGGAGGAACAATAGAACATTATTGGATATGACAAAACACAAAAGAGTGAATGCATCTCCGCCAGCCCACTGACAACAATTTTGAGCCATATAGCTAGTAGTCTCAAGCAATTGGTTCTTAGAATCTGGAGGACCCAAACCCAACAGTCTGCACCTTCCTTCGTGGCCGGCTTAAACTAACTCTTATGGACATTTGTAAAATCTCAGCAAAATTGAAATGAGTAATTCCAACATTTCGTTTAGCGAAATTGTCCAGACTTCTTCAGGGAAATTAATTGAAATTATCATAACAGAGGTTCGTACATCAAAAGGATATCTCTTGTTTTATAAAAACTTTCTCCAATCATATGAGTCATGAATATATATACATAAACCTCTGTTATGTTAATTTCAATTGATTTCCCTGAAGAAGTTCGGACAAGTTTACCGAATAAAGGAAACGTTGGAATTACTCATTTCAATTTTGCTGAGATTTTACCAATAATTTTTTTTATAAATGTCTACTTCACACTCGGCGCCCAATAATTTTGCAACTATTCGGTCAAACATTGATCACAGTTCATACAAATAACTGTTTTGGATTTCATGGGCTGATGAAGCTATATTTTCGCCTGACCACCAATAGCTGTTTTCCAACCTGATCTGTCCTAAGTCAGCTAACACTGCTCGTCGTTGAAGGCGACGGCTAGGCTTGAGTAACACATTTAGTAGTCATCTCAGTCTATGTAGCAACATGACCTTGTCGACTGACTATCCAAATATGAGAGAACCAGACAGGCTTTAGACCAGGAAGAGGGTGTATTGATCATTCCTTCACCCTTCGACAGATTCTGGAACATAGGCATACTTACGGGAGTCGAACAATTGTTATATTTCTTGATCTAAAGGTGGCATTCGATTCTGTTGACCGAGAGGTATTATGGCAATGCTTGACTGTAAAGGGAATGACGAGAAAATACATTTCACTGATCAAGCCACTCTACTCGAACTCATGCAGCAAGGTGAGAGCTTACGGTGAGTTGTCATCTGAACTGGTGACAACTAGTGGTGTCCGACAGGGATGCCCACTATCCCCGTTTCTATTCAATTTCATCACAGCTGTACTAATCGAATTGACCCTAACTCACTTCTGAGAGTCAAGGATTGACTTGTTGCCAGCAGGGAATAATCTCGTTGACTTAGAATATGCAGATGATATAGTACCCCTCCCAAGGTGAAGGCGCTGACAAAATGCGGAGTCATCTAAACACCTTGAGCTGAGCTGCAATCTTCGAATGTTTGGCATGCGATTCGCTCCTGCTGTCGAGTGTAAGGTGATGCTACAGCACTGGAGTACACTGGAGAGCATTTTGACCACTTCATTTTTTTGAGAAA